CCAACTCACCACGCCTCACATAATGATGCAGTATGTATCTCTCGTGACAGAATATTCTGCGTAATGACCTAGGCAGGACAATCGCACCAGCCAAGGGAAAGGTTTCGTTCATGAGAGAGAGTTGAGAACATTTTGAGTAATTACCTGGGCCCGGTTTCACAAAGCTTACGTAGCGCTACGACTGTCGTACCTCCTGTCGTACCTCCTATACTGTAACATAGACTTTCGACAGTCTTAGTGTTATGATAGCTTTGTGAAACGGGGCCCTGGTTTGCCAGGTTTCAGCAAACTGAGTTCCCACTCCAGATCAGAACAGTTCCAGATTCACTATTGCGAGAAGTTACGCCATATTGAGACAAAGCAAGATGATTTCATTCAGCGATTTGTAGACTTGTGTCTTGGGTTCACCACTATCAGCCAGAAACTAGACAGCAGTCAAAGCGATGGAAACATTTGACGTTTCCCCCTCTATAAGTAGCCAAAGTCTGTTCCATCAGCTGGTTCCATTCTGCTGGGATTCTAAAGGAACCCTGTTGGTGGACTACCTCCCGGCAGGTCAGTGAGCGAGTTTAGTCTTACACCGCAATATTCCAGCTATATGGCGGCGGTCTGTAAATAATCGAGTCTGGACCAGACAATTCAGTGATCAAAAGCATGAGCATCGATCTACGCAATTGAGATACGATGACATGTGTCAACCAAGTCAGGGGAGCCTGACTACCCGATCCCGTTAGTCGCCTTTTACAAGCATGGGTTACTGAAGATCAATGTTAACCTGGATCTTCGCAGGTGCGGAAGGTCACATCATCAGTGGCCTATCATGCCGATCTGCTCAGGAAACGGCGAGTCGTAAGAATATCAAGGTCAAATACTGTGAACTGCTCAAGAAAGGTGTGTTGTTCAGACAGGACAGACCTGTTGCCTCAATGACTGCAATGCACGTTACAAGTTGTAGCTCGGTCATGCAGTGCAACATAGTTAGGCTCGGGACTTCAGCCAACCCTGTGTGTGCAGTCGTCCTGAGGTTTCATGTTCCCTGGTGACAGATAAATGGACGGTTTGACTGACTGACTGAGTTTGGTTTTACGTCGATTTTATTATTCCAGCAACATCACGGCGGGGGACACCAGAAATGGGCTTCACACATTGTACCCATGTGGGGATTCGAACCCCGGTCTTCTGGGTGACAAGCCAAAGCTTTAACCATTAGGCTAGCCCACCGCCCCATGGACCGTTTGACAACTAAGACTCAATCCCTATATCTCCTACATCTCTGAGAGAGCTCCCAGGTACTACATCCATAGATACTAATTCATAACTCTAGCAATACACACCTGTGATAACTCAGATGTGTGGCAGTTCACAGTTGGTATTTTCGTGTAAATGAAAGGAAACCAATAACAGCATCTGTACAGTATCTTTATTTACCATGGAGAAAGATATGTAACAGTTTCTGATGCTATGCATATATTACATATGAGAACAATAAACACTCCCTGCATAGCAGTTCAGGAAATGATGCAGCTAATGTTGAGTTTGGATTCAGCTGAGGTAGGCAGCATCTGAAGTCCCATATTTACTAGAGTGAGTGAGTGAGTTTAGTTTTACCCCGCTTAAATGGATTTCACACATTTTACCCATTTGGGAATCGACCCGGGTCTTCAGCATGATGAGCGAATGCTTTTACCACTGGGTTACCCCACCACCCCCTAAGTTACTAGAAGGATCGTCATTCACATATTGGGTTAGTTTTGACACATGCCTACCCATTTATCAAATAATATTCAGCCATATTTTAGAACCCTGTATTCTGATTGGGCTGACAGGAGGTATCTAATGATCCACAATCATCCTGATGACAGAGTTACTGCTAAATACAACATTTATTCAGAAGCAATTTTTTCCCAAACTTGCTTAAATACTTATCTTACTTTTTTAATGATGCAAAATGAGGTGTTGCCGTTCCTACATTACATACAGCATGTGTGGCAATATATTTCACAAGGAAAACTTGACTTACTGTAAATTGACTAAAGCTATATTTCAAACCTGTAAATTGAAAATACTATGGGTTTATCACATAATTCACGAAGCTTTGTAGTAACCCTGCCTAAAAACTTCTCAGGGTTAGTGTGAGCTGAAGGTTTGCTACACAAAAGCTACTTGTCTCTAACTTAATAGGATGCACCTAAAACACGGACAACCTCATGCCCTCCTGGTTGAATGCAACATTGAAAGGTATTTTTCAAGAATTCAAAATGAATTAAGTATGTCTGAACTAAAGTACTGAAATATGTAACAAAATATGAGTAAAGCACATGTTCACATCCCCAACATCCAACAGAATACATGGCAACAAATACAGATCTAAGCACTCCCCAATACCACAGAGATATGTCTGATCTCAGATAAGGTGAGATAACGCAATACGGATCATAAGATTTCAAAGTCACAAGCTAGCCTTCCAGTATAAGCACTATGGAAAATATATCTTGGGGGTATCATAATCACAAGGGCAAGAAAGTATGACATTTAGTGTGAATATGCAAATTAAGTAGGCTTGAAAATATATGTAACGTGACTCTAAACAATAGTCATTTCAGAAATAGTTGTCTTGTGTTATTCATAACAGCAACAAACTGCAAATGCTAACATATTGGCTAGTGTGTTGATACATAGATGTTAAATTAGAGACAGAGATTACCGATCATCTGTTCCGGGTGAATGAATGGTTTAACCTTGAGCTACTCGCTACAGAAAAAGGGCATTATTTTTAAAACAAGGGATAACTTGTAATTCCTAGTCCAGTGTTGATTAGTAGTATTTTATGAGTTACTCTTTGTAATTAAGTAGGAAATTTTGAAGAAAAACAAATGAAAAGTCAACCCCACAGGAAACGTCACTGAAGTTAGTGATGTTATGAACATAGAAGTGATCTTACCTTCATGTCAAAATGTCCAGACCTGATTGGTTAAGTGACCTTAATATAAAATATTATATCTCACTTGGGAGGTAAATAAATTCTGAGTGTATAAATCTGTTTTACCCAACTATGAAGTAAAATGCTGCCAGTTGTATAGGAGTCAATGAAAAACACAGCACAAGTTAACCTCTGCCCAAACAAACAACCATTGTTTTTATCAGTTTCAGTAAATTCGTTTACAATGGCAGATAGAAACATCCCAGTAATATATATTCATTATAGCAATATCACTCAAGGTATAACAGTCTCTGGCTTGTGGTATAAATCTTAATGTGGGATGCAGAAAATGACACATACCCATTGTGAGGGGCTCCAGATAACAGGGCTCGAGCGGTATGTATGGATAAAAATATGCACTATCACGGAGGAAATAAATTAGCAAACGTGAGCAGATAATAAATTACAGCAATGTAGCAGATACGGTCTTAGAATCATTTACAGACAGTACGATATCTGAAAAAGTATTGTTTTATTGTTTATTGACCTACTTACACAAGAGTAGCAATGTTGTGGTGCATATATGAAACAAAACACAAGATTACTGATACTCCATTAAATTCCATTCAGTACTCTAAATGAACTCTTAAGTTTATCCAGTAGTGCCATATTGAAAAAATAAGGAGTACATACTCCTAATGTTGAAAAATTATCTGGACCCTTGTTATAATATAATATCTTGTCTTCTTTAACTAAGCAGTATGATGTCCTATTGCTTAAATGACCAAATCTGCATTGAGAAGCAATAAAACGCACATGTGTAACTATCACAATGTATTTTCACTGTCTTTCTACCTCATGGTCATACAATGTATATTGTGAATAATATACCTCCTTTACAATGAAAAACCCATGTCCAATGTTATATTTCTTGAAAATATTTCACTTGAAATAAATGTCTCATTTTACACATTGCCAGTGTTTCAAGTGATTGTGTCTAGGTATCAGACATTGTTATCATCCCCAGGCTCAACATAATAAATAATCAAACAAGAAATGAAATACACAACACAACAACATGATGCTTGGCAGGAAAACAAAGCGATTACACTGCTGCATGAAATCAGAATGAGTTCGACAAGATGTTCACAACAGCATCTCTAAAAACTAAACCATACATACAAATGAAGGCATCAAACATAGATATTTTGTGATTGAAGTTTCTACAAAGTACATAAAGACTTGGGATCCTGCTGAAGTTGAATAATAACAATAATAATAATAATAATAATAACAAGTGTCCTACACAACTGTTGTTGACTTGTACTATAAAGACCGATAAGCTTGAAAGAAACCCAATACAACCACACAACCAGGGCACAGAAAACCAACAGTTGGAAGGCTGTGTGTTGCCTTTCCAGCTGTCTACACAAATTAACTATGGTCCTATGAAAGAAACCGTATGTTCTGTAACTTCCTTTGAACTATACATCATTACTGACTCTTTCTAAATCCAACATGTTACCATGGTTACACAGAGTCTGAACATCTTATCCAGTTGAGTCTCCCCTTACAACAGCCTAGGGTTGTATTGTAACCTGAGTTTCCCTTCGAAGATGTGTCTTAGTTGAAGTAGTAAAGTCACCATGCTCTACCTGGGATACATAGTGACATTATTTGTTCAGTAGGTTTATAAACTAGTGAGGACCATCAGGGGCCATGACTGATTTTACAACTACATATTAGAATATATTTTGGTCTTGGTAACCCTAGCAATACAAACTATTGTTCATGCCTTCTTTCTTACGGTGGAGGACTAGCAGGAGGTTTGAGACACTCCTAATAATGTTGACAAGAATTCTAAACATTTCATGAAATCCTACAGTCATGAAATAATCCATAGTCCACAGAAACAGCTAGTGAATTCCTGCTTATTTTATCCTGCTCACAAAATATCCACGTTGATACACAAATGCACTTGATACCCATCATGGTTCATGTCGTTCCTTTCCATATCATCAATTTCCCATATCATCAATCCATTTCACATACGATCCATGCCTGTCCATATGATTGATGTCCAGGTCCATATGATCCATGTTCCACCCATATGAGTGATCCATGCCAGAATGGTCCATACGACCCATGTCCAACTATACCATCCATGATCAGTCCAAATGATCCATCTCACACATACATGAGGCACACAGTGACTGGGTGAGACACATTGCTAGCTCCCGTTCTGCTGCTGTTGCTGCTGATTGCCTGCCTTCCTCTGCGAGGCATACTCCACAGTGGTCTGGAGAATCTTCTTCTCACAAGTCCTGAGTTGGAGAGCAAGAAGTAGAGCTGGGGACAAGTCCGACTTCTTCAACTGCTCCTCATCAGCCTGAGAACATGAAGATTCATGTGATTGATTAACACAAAGTCTCTAATTCAGGAACTTAACCAGGATTCTAAACTAAGTGCCCACTGCAGGCGATTTAGGCAAGAAATTGTTACTTTGTCCGAACTGGTCAGTTATCATTATATGATATGAAATAGGAAAATCATAAATCATCTACAGGTGGCTTATTAGATCACTGAGTTTCACAACCAGTAATGATAAAGGGCCCAGAGAGCTGGTAGCCCTCACCTCTAGTGTTGTTGGGTAGGCTTTGAGCAAGATGGCCGCCCTGGTCTGCAGGAAGGACCACACCTTCTGTTCATTCTCCTCTGTTACAGGAGTCTCCAGGTCCTTCAGCTGCTCCACGTCTTCCTGACTCGCAGCACTGTTGTACCGGGACTTCAGGGGGTCTGGCAAGCAGCACAGTGTTATTCTACATGTTCTGGATGTGGCAAGTTTAACTCAAGAGTAACAAAGAAATTGGGACAATATATTAAAGCGGTCAAATGTTTGAAGAAGGTGTTTCAGATAACTTTAGGAATAAAGATCTGATGAATGACTGACTGACTGACTGACTGACTGACTGACTGAGAGTTTGGTTTTATGCGCTTTTAGCAATATTCCAGCAACATCACATCGGGGGACACCAGAAATGGGCATCACACATTGTACCCATGTGGGGATTTGGACCCGGGTCTTCGGCGTGACGAATCAACACTTTAACCACTAGGCTACCCCACCGCCCCTCTTATGAAGGATGTGACTTATGTACAGGAAGACTCATACCACTAGCCATGTTAAAGCAGTCATATAAACATCTGGATAATGACCCTGACCCTCAATCCTAGACTGACTGAATCTGTTTACAAGTCATTAAATAAGTGGAAGACTTACCTTCCTCCATGTTGAAGACCCGAAGGAATGCTAGCAGATCTCCATCAACAGGGTTGTCACCCACATGTAGGAAGAAGGCTCTGGACCTGAAGACACAACACATCCGTCATCATCCTCATCGCCATCAGCATCACCATTGCTGGCAGCACCATCACCAGCATCCTCATGCTTACCATCTCACCATCATCCTCATCGCCATCAGCACCATCACCATTGCTGGCAGCACCATCACCAGCAACCTCATGCTTACCATCTCACCATCACCCTCATCGCCATCAGCAACATCAACATCACCATTGCTGGCAGCACCATCACCAGCATCCCCATGCTTACCATCTCACCATCACCCTCATCGCCATCAGCAACATCAACATCACCATTGCTGGCAGCACCATCACCAGCATCCCCATGCTTACCATCTCACCATCACCCTCATCGCCATCAGCAACATCAACATCACCATTGCTGGCAGCACCATCACCAGCATCCCCATGCTTACCATCTCACCATCACCCTCATCGCCATCAGCATCACCATTGCTGGCAGCACCATCACCAGCATCCTCATGCTTACCATCTCACCATCACCCTCATCGCCATCAGCAACATCAACATCACCATTGCTGGCAGCACCATCACCAGCATCCTCATGCTTACCATCTCACCATCACCCTCATCGCCATCAGCAACATCAACATCACCATTGCTGGCAGCACCATCACCAGCATCCCCATGCTTACCATCTCACCATCACCCTCATCATCAAATCAACATCACCATTGCTGGCAGCACCATCACCAGCATCCCCATGCTTACCATCTCACCATCACCCTCATCCCATCAGCATCACCATTGCTGGCATCACCATCACCACCATTGCTGGCATGCTTACCATCTCACCAGCATCCTCATCGCATCAGCATCACCATTGCTGGCAGCACCATCACCAGCATCCCCATGCTTACCATCTCACCATCACCCTCATATCAGCAACATCAACATCACCATTGCTGGCAGCACCATCACCAGCATCCCCATGCTTACCATCTCACCATCACCCTCATTATCACCAACGCCCTCATCACCATTCCCCACAATTTGCAGTTTATATCATCATCGTGATCCAAGAGATTGTGCCAAAATCAGTCACATAAACAGTCCACAGTAAATGATCCTATGACAGTAAGTTTTCTCAATGACTCAATAACATTCAGAGCCTGAACACAAACGGCTGTGTGTATAAAACAGACCTTGACAACCAGCACATTTCACCAGTTGCCGAGTCCACTGGATGGAATGATCCAGAAATTCAGTTTATTCACAAACAGCTTTGAAGTCACATATCACAAACACTGTACAACAGAAATGTCAACTTACGGCTGCAGCCCTATCCGGTTCAGGACTTCGGCCTTAGCTGCGAAAAGCGAATCTCCCTTGCTGATACCTACACAATGTTACAAAATCACATTTTGTGGTTAGTATAATGTATTTCTAAATGACAAATCTGACATCAGAAGCTGTTCTGGCACAAAATGAAATACCATATTTCACGGCTGGGAGGTTTTATTTCAAGAAATAAAGAGTCATATTATTCAAACTGGTTCCACATCATGACCACTTTCGGCTGACCAGTAACAAAAGCCACAAAAGACAACATTTTCAAGTGACTCACCTAGTTTTAGACACAAGCGATCATGTTCATTCTCTGGGTACACAAACCCATTGTGTACAAGGAACTCTGCATTGGATCGAGCACCATAGAAAATGAAGATCTGTGAAACGGATAGATACAAGACATAAACAGTCTGAGGAGGTGAGGAAACGACTTTTAAGAGAATTTAAGATTACAGTCAAATTCTAAATAGGGTCAAATATTTTGAAAAATCAAAGAAAATGGAACATGATTTGAGACCCATAATTAACCCTAATCATATAAGAACATTTTAGATCAATGAGAGCAAAAAGGATGAGAAGTTTCATTGCTCTGTAGCACATTCTAAGAGTGAGTGAGTGATGGTGAGTGAGTGAGTGAGTGAGTGAGTGAGTGAGTGAGTGAGTGAGTGAGTGAGTGAGTGAGTGAGTGAGTGAGTGAGTGAGTGAGTGAGAGAGAGTATGTTTTTACGCCTCTTTTAGCAATATTCGAGCAATAACACGGTGGGGGACACCAGAAATGGGCTTCACACATTGTGCCCATGTGGGGATTCGAACCTGGTTCTCCGGCGTGACGAGCGAACGCTTTAACCACCAGGCTACCCCACCGCCCCACATTCTAAGAGAACTGAAGAGCATGGTCAGAGTGCAAAAACAAACCAGAATCAATGGGACATTGGTACACTGGCAACTACAAATATACCAAACTTCATACCTATTTTAAAGAAATGGCTGTCTTGCGACTGTCTTGCCTTTTCAATATGGCTACCATTGCAGTCTATTGAAAATCAGATTCAAACCTTGTAAACCATCTTGAGATTTACTCTGCAGGTATCAGCACTTGTCTCCCCTATATATCTAGGACTGGCAAAACCTACTGAAAGGGCTACAGTTCCTCTACAAACTCTCTTCGATGTGTACTTGTTCCAGCTCAACAAAAGAGATCAACTGCAGCTTAACTCACAAGATGCATGGTGGTTGGATGTGTTTTGGCTATACATGTTATGGAAGTGTTTCTCTGTGTGTGTGATATTTCCATTCAGATCACAAACAACAGAACGAACTTGCATCATGTTAAATGCAGAACAGGTACATAAACATTAAATATATCTCACCTGTTCTTCAGATTTGAACTCTCTCAGAGTGTAGCATTCACTACAATCCTTCTCTACATTGTAGTCAGCTGTGAACTGAAACAACAAGCACCACTTACAGTTGGCTACAGATACTACATGGCTCAATACCATATCAGTCAACTATCATCCACAAAAATAGGAGCTGTCGTAAGTGAATGAGAACACATTATTTCATTTAGTTTATTTGTTTACTGCTTCGGTGAAACCAAGCACAGGTAAGGTGTTGACAAACCAAGAAACACAATCAGAGGCAATCAAACCCATGATCATGGGCTACAAGCACTCCCAAGGGTTACAAGTCTACATAGTGAATTGTGGTAGACTCAGACAACTGGACCTTCATAAACGAATGGAAACAGCAGCATTTGTACTCACATAGCCATTAGAGTGATTGCACATGTCCCAGAAGGGGATGAGACCAAACGTTGCCTGAGACCCGTCCTTGGTAGGTATCTGGTTCTGCCTGGTCATCACAGTCGATACTGCCCACCTGAAGCCAGAAACAACTCATGTCACCAGAGTCTCAACTGAACCATCAGAGTCTCAACTAACCATCAGAATCTCAACTGAACCATCAGAGACTCAACTGAACCATCAGAGTCTCAACTGAACCATCAGAGACTCAACTGAACCATCAGAGTCTCAACTGAACCATCAGTCTCAACTGAACTCAGACTGAACCATCAGAGTCTCAACTGAACCATCAGAGTCTCAACTGAACCATCAGAGTCTCAACTGAACCATCAGAGTCTCAACTGAACCATCAGAGACTCAACTGAACCATCAGAGTCTCAACTGAACCATAAGAGTCTCAACTGAACCATCAGAGTCTAAACTGAACCATCAGAGTCTCAACCGAACCATCAGAGTCTAAACTGAACCATCAGAGTCTCAACTGAACCATCAGAGTCTCAACTAAACCATCAGAGACTCAACTTAACCATCAGTCTAAACTGAACCATCAGAGTCTCAACTGAACCACTGCCCCATTACCACAACCTCAAGTGACTGGTCTTACAACACACACTGTTTTACGGCCTGTTTTACCAAGCTCCTAGACTAACAACTAGTCTCTGAAATGAACATATTTTACTGAAAAAAGTTCATAGTAAAAAAGTATAAAATATAATGAAAAGGAGCCCTGAGACCTTCTTCATTTTCAGAAGCTGAGGAAATCTAGACTTGCCACATTTTCTAGACTTGTGTGGGCTTTCTTGGATATATTTGCTTCAGGGTCTGTACGAGAGGCTACCAAGCTCCCTGTAAGGGCATAAAGGAGAGTGGCTTGGCCTTAATAGGACACATAAACAACAAACAATGGTACTGTATTCCTGTTACAATGAAGTAGGAGATACTTATACAGACTATTTATAAGTGAATACAGAGGAGAACCTGTAACTGTTCCAAGAGCAAAATGGAATGGGCATAGCAAAGAGTGCAATGACAAAGGGAGATAACTCCTGGGCCTAAGTCAGGGAATAACCTGTATTCTACTTCTAGTACTTACTGGGTTAGAGTACTTTTTCATCATGAACTTGCAATCATTAATTATCAACTAATGCACTCCACCAATAAATACTTGAATACACCACAAGTTTCCATTGTTGCTTTAAGAACATTTCCCCAAACTAATATGAGTCATAAAATGTTTGCCTTTAAGTTATTTTACAGAACATCTGATATGCAATCATGACCATTGCTAGCATGTGTTAACAAATTCAAACATGCTTTCTGTTTTCCATACCTGATGGAAGTAAGTCAGAGATTGATAGGTACTTACCTATATTCATCGAATGTGAAAATGTCTTTTATAGGAAGATTACTGGCTTTGGGGTTTTTCTGAAATCAAAGAAGAATCTGTGTATAGATAACCATGAAGAGAATAATGTCATATATTTTACTGACTCTACCGAAAGTGTACAGTTTGATTACTAGCCTTTGTTGTTGGACAAATGCAGGTAAAATGTTAGGAATAACAAGAAGAGTAAAACTGAAGTGCTTGTTGATTTTTGACTGTTTAATGGAACACTCAGTAATATTCCAGCTATATAAAGGTGGTCTGTAAATAATCCAGTCTGGCCAAACCAGTGATTGAAGTCATGAGCACGGATCCAACCCTCAGGATACAATGACATAAACCTGTCAAAAAACTAATCCAGTTACAGAAAATACAAGACAATACTGAAAGAATATACAAAATTTTACCCAATAATTTCAACTGTACCCATGGTAACCTACCTGAAGTAGCCTATAGAAGTAGGCGTACTGTCGGGAAATGTTTCGGTACTGGTTGAGGGAATCCCCTGAAATAGACAGTCCCACATGTCAAGTTCTTACTACGTTACCAGAATGAGAAACAACTCAGCACCTTACAATACACACATTCCTCCATATTGGTGATAACACAAACACATAATGTTGTTTGTGCCACAGCGAGCAATTTATCAGCCATATCATGGAAAATAGTATAGTTTGGTTAGTCACACTTAGAGACATAATCCATGTTAACCTTGATTCAAAAAACACAATTATAGGTTCCTGGTATGTCCAAGGGACACAATTCTGCGAGCATATTGCCATGGCCTGAGATTACTGGCCATTCATGCCGCCCCCACCCACAAAGAGAAGAAACCTACCCAATGCTGGGGAGCCCTTGAACTGCTGGAGCTCCTCCTGGCTGAAGTACAGTGGAGTTGTGTAACTTGTCGGCATGATGTCTGAAATGAAGAATTCAACCTTGTGTCAAGTATTACCTCATAGTGTCAAGAAGAATACCATGGCAGCTACACTAGTGTCAAACTAATCAAATTTTTACATACTCCTAGGCCAAATGTAGAGATAACATCATTATCAGGTAATATGATACACCAGGCGTTATCACCCATACTGCATATCCTGATCATGTTGAACACCAGTGCTTGTCATCGTCCATTAAACCATGCAGTTAATACTCATGCAGTTGGTCTATGAACATGTGGACACTGTTTCAGCAGTGGGGTAAACCTTGTTTGTTTTCAGCAAACTGATACATCCTGTATCTAGTTCCACATTGACAAGAATCTCTGGAGGGTGGGAGTTGTCATACCAATTACTGGATAACGCTTTTACTGCTGCTGAGAGATCCTAAAAGATAGGGACTTTTCTAACATTTGGCCTAGGACTATACAGTAGTACAAGGCATATCATTCTGTACAGTGGAAAATGCCTCAACTTTATATGAGACAGTATACTTACACTGCGAGTGTGTGGCATCTTTATGTCACTCTGCCCAATATTTGCCTTACATGACATAATATAAAGAAACAAAAGTGCTACAGATTGTATGAATGAACATTTTTGTGAAACACATAATCTGTAATATACATATTAAAATCATGTTCACCAGATCCTGGAGTTGGTGAGGGAGACAACCCTACATAGTGACTGTACCCTGGTACAACAACTGACCTATGTAGGGCTTCCACAGTGAGTCTGGCGCCCACTTCTCACACAGTAGGTGCAGAGCTAGAGTGATGTTGGGCATTGCCTGGAGTATCTTGTCCTCACTGATCAGGTTTCCTACAAAATGATGCAGCATTGTGAACAAATGCAATATTTCTGCAAAATGTTTAGGATGATATATAAACAGCTCTCTCATTCAAGGTGAGGTGAAATTGGGTTTTACGTCGTGCTTGAGAATATTTCGCTCATATGACGACGTGCATGTGTGTGTATGTGCGGCTGCTTGTACTAGCCCAGACTTAAGCTGGTTTTATAGTGCTAGCCCACTGAGATACCATGCCGCAGTGAAGCATGAATACCCCACTCAGACACATTATACTGACTCCAAGACTACTGACACCATTAATGCCAAGCACCAGGCAGGGACCAACAAGTACCATATTTTAACGTCTTTTGGTTTGATGCGGTCGGGGATCGAACCTGCAACCTTCCGCTCTCCGGGCGGACGCTCTAACCACTACACCACGGAGGCGGTCCTCTCATTCAAAGACATTAGATTAAATGTATTCCTATCCAGTATTCTGCATATGAAATGTGACTGATTCAATCCTTTTCATCACCAACAACAGACAATACAGTATTCAGGTGCTCAGTTTATCTTGTCAGCTGAAGTCTGCTCAAAACATGTTCGGCAGGTGCTTCTTACCAAGGACAGACTTCTTGGCTGAATCCACAGTCAACATCAGCTTCCTCGGGATAGACAGGAACAGCTCTGATTCCTGTAAATCAACACATATTCTAATATCAAAGAAAATACAAGATGCAAATCAAGAGAGAAGAAACTGAGAGCCACTTGACAATGATCTTAACAGATACACTCCCTGCACAAAACAAGGGCAGTTAGGACTGGGACACTGCTGATATTTCACTTGTTATATAAACTACAAGGTGCTTAAAATTAAGAATGAGTGAGGGTGGTGGGGTAGCCTAGTGGTTAAAGCGCCGCTTGTCACACTGAAGACCTGGGTTCAGTTCCCCACATGGGTACAGTGTGGGAAGCCCATTTCTGGTGTCCCCCGCTGTAATATTGCTGGAATATTGCTAAAAGCGGCGTAAAACTAAACTCACTAACACTAAGAATGAGTGAGTGAATATGGTTTTACAACACTATTAGCATTAATCTAGCAACAGCTTCAGAAATAGCTTCACATAATGTACCATGTGGAGAATAGACTGACTGAGTTTGGTTTTATGCTGCTTTTAGCAATATTCCAGCAACATCACGGCGGCCTTAGAGACTTTGTAATAAGATTTGGGGTGTCCCTAGATGCAACAGAAAACATTAGGATTCCAGGACATACACTGATAGAATTAATTTTCAGTAACCCATGCCTGTCATAAGAGGTGACTAATGGGATCGGGTGGTCAGACTCGCTGACTTGGTTGACACATGTCATCGGTTCCCAACTGTGCAGATCGATGCTCATGCTGTTGATCACGGGATTGTCTGGTCCAGAGTAGACTATTTACAGATTGACGTTATATAGCTGGAACATCGCTTAGCGTATTACGCTGCCACATAAAACTAAACTCACGCACTCACTCCAACACTGATATAACCTATTAGTCATTGTCATAACTAATGTCACATTTCTTATCAGCACAATGCTTATATGTACTAAGCAAACTGAGTATGCAAGGTAGATGATCTGGTGTACAATGTCATGTCAAAGATAACCCAAACAGCAACATGTAAACACTGCTTGTTTCGCTACGTGTACTAATCTGTTATAGTGCCAGTCAATTTGTTGATCGTGCTGGAGCTGATCACGGATGCCCCACCCAGATACAGCATACTGACACTCACTCCTTGTCTTATCACATTAATGCTGAGCACAAGGCAGGGTAACAACATGTACCATCTTTTAACAGGATTTTAATGGCTAGATACTGAACCAACGACCATCGACTCCCTGTACAGACACTCTATCCACTACCAGGAGGATGTCCATCAGAGTGTATATAATAAATAGGGCTGTGCAATATTACTGGTAAACTGGTATATACCGGTACAGTACCTTGCGAAATGATTATCACGATATAGTTCAGATTCTGCAATATATTGGGTCATCCAGAGTTGGCTCCCTTTGAATCATATGCCCTTCACTTCCATGCCAACAATATGCGTTCTAAAAGAGCTAAATATTCTACCAAGTTTTGTGGGTTTGGACGTTTTCATATGTGATATTTTGGAGGAATTAAGTGGTATCAAATGGGCCAAAGTTTCATTTGGACTTATTAGTAGACCCTCTGGCTCTGAGTGACCATTTCACAGTTCAAATTATTTGAGTATTTTTGTTTGTTTCATACTGGGACAAATGTTATCAATTTATCATAAAGGCCTAAGTCTTATAAATTTTGTAGGACTGTATGATGACATTCTAGTCCAGGATCTCAGTCATTAGAGGTCACATGAGATTTTAAGCAAGTAGTTCACCTAAATCATGTTTTTGTTTCATTTTGCAAAAGTTCATGTTAACACATGTTATACTGGTATTGAATCTGAATGAATCACTGACATAACGTAACAATAATTACATACTGCATTGAAGAGCACTCTATTTAAGTAGTGAGTATGATTTTATGCCGCTTTTAGCAATATTCCTGCAATATCACGGCGGGGGACACCAGAAATGGGCTTCACACATTGAACCCATGTGGGGAATCGAACCTGTGTCTTCGGCGTGACAAGCCAACGCTTTAACCACTAGGCTACCCCACCGCCCCCTCTGTTGAAGCAAACAACACTGACCATGAAAATCATGTTATACTATTACCTTTATCATTATGTTTGCAAAACTTTGTTGCAATACTTCAATTAAACTTTCCACATTAAGACTCTATGTCATTATATTTATCTGTAAACCATTGGCATACAGCCATACACCATGGGGACGGGGAGCCTGAAAGTATGGTGTAACAGCAACTGAGAAGATGATGTCGCACACAGAGACCTATTATGAATTTATGATGTACGCACATGGGCCTTGACATTATTATATCTCTTAAGTTATTGCAATATATCGCAATATGAAAATCAGGGCAATATCCAGCCCTAATAATAAACACACCTTGAGATCTTTATTTGCCTTGAGCCCATGTCCCAAGTCTTGATACTGCACAATCTCTGCTGATGTTGTGTCCACGCCATTGTTGGCTAACCACTCCAGGAATGCTGGGAAACACTGATCTCGGCTCTTTTCTGGTGGGGCTATGGCTGCAACAGAAGAGGAGATATGTCCATATGTTGATATCAAGAGTACAATATTACATGACAACATCCATTAAATATGACAGCTGTCAATGTGTCATAACATGACAGCCATTTACCATCAGAAGGAACAACTAGAGATCTAAACATAGTGTGTCAATGTTGCTGATTCTTTTACTTGGCAATATTCCAACTGGATCAAGGTACACTGTTAAAAATGAAAACCTGGGATTGATATTATGAGAACTTTCCACCTTGACTGGGTAGAAGAAAATGTCACCAAGCAGTTCACCAAGCCTGAAAAGCACAGAGTTCATGTCCACAGAATCACATAGCACTCATGTGAAGTACCTGATTGTATTTTTCGGATTTTCTCCACAAGTCCATGTATTTCTGGGAAGTCATCCCACTCCTTTGACCCAGTGGCTGGTGGCTTGGAGCAGACTGCACAGGAACGTTACAACACGCCATTAACGATAATATCATAATATCTCCATTGCAATGTGCCAAATTCCACTGGTCAAACATAAAGTATATAAAGTACTGATAATTAATCATTAATATCACTGACATATACAATAAATGTTTGATGGTTCATCAGAGCATACAATTCATATGTGCCAAATTCCACTGGTCAAACATAAAACATCACATAAAGTACTGATAATTAATATCATTAAATTACATATCTCTTTGACATATACAATAACCGTCCTGATGATTCAGGCTGTCCCATCAGAGCAGAAATAATGTCCATTATATTATTGATGATTACTTTTTTTTTAACCGTCTGTATTCATGATATTTATGGTACATATGATATGTTTATTACAGAGAGTTTCACTGGAGCTGCTGTAATATGAATTTAGTGTTGATACATATATGAAATTGAATGAATGCTGTGAATGAATCAATTTCCATATATACACACTGATACAGTGTTGACTTTAAATGTTTCCTAACATCATTACCACTATGTAACATCATCCCTACTTTGAGCATGATAAGTGTAAGGAAGAATACATGACAGAGAAACCATTTAAACAAGTTGAACAAGCTCCACTGTTTTGCTTGTTCGTCTGGTACTCACTGTCAAGGAGCTGGTTAACTAGCTCTGTAACATCTCTCTTGGCAGCCTTGGGTAGGACCTGGGTTTGGCTGGCCCCCTCAGTACTGGTGGTGTTCTCTTTAGCTGCCTGCTTTCCACCTCCACCTTTTCTGCTTTTCTTCCCCATGATGATGTTGTTTACTACTTCTGCCAAAAAAACATCATTTGAAACATAACATTAGTAAAACATTGTCATATCTCAGAAATATAGTTCTCTCTACCCCCATGTATAGTGTAACAAATTACCTTTCCCCCCGAACTATTATAGTGAAAGTACGAGGACGCTATACCCCCATGTATACCCCCCTACGTTAAGACGCACATTGCCGTGAAAACTAATGATAAACAGTTAGAAGACGGTTTAGTTCGGGTTATATATCTTCTCTCTATTACTTTAGTTACGTCTGTGATTATCGTAAATCATATGGGGCAATATGAACATCGCACTTCTGCTTTAGTTTAGAACAGTAAATCCAGATGAAGTTGACTAGTTACATGACATTCCACAGATGCATTGTGGGACTGTGTACATAGGCTTAGTCAGCGAACATTGCTGTGTCGGTATTTAACTGTGATTCGAGCAGACATTTGTTCGTCAAAAAAAAATTAAATGTAACGTTTCCACTAGTGATGTTAGCCGTGTGAAGCAACTGCAAACCAGAAAACAGGGTGCTACAGAGTAGTTTAGAGTAGGAGTCTGTGCGAGGCAATGACAAATGACATGCATTGTGACATCAGTTACCAAAGGTATGCGTTTCATTATGAGGGGCAGATGAGAATGGCGTGAGTGATGTCAATACAGTGTGACGTAATTTCTACATCTCAGAAATTATTACACTGAGGATATACCAATATTTGTTCTTATTCTCAACTTTTGGTGATAGGTCTATAATACTGTGAAAGGGAATAGACACTGCGAATAATCTCTTAAGTTTAACAAAACTCTTCTGGGACTGTCTGAACAAAACAATTCATGAATTTACACATTTACCCATGTGGGCAATTGAACCTGATTTTTCATGAATGACAAGCAGTTACTTAATGACTAGGCGACCCCAACAGCCCCTCGAAAATGAGATGTTTAAAAGTGAGTGAGTGAGTGAGTGAGTGAGTGAGGTTTTATGCAATATTCCAGCGATATTTACAACAGGGGACACCAGAAATAGCCTTCACACATTGTACCAATGTGGGGAATCCAACAGGCCTACAGCGTGACAAGTAACGCTTTAACCACTAGGCTACCCCACCGCCCAACTGAAATTAGTGAATGGATTTAACTGAATGGGTTAATCTGTTTGACCCCAGGGTTTGTGTTACAGGTTCACATATATTCTGTAGGGGTTCCATGCAGTGAATGCACAATAGATCAGAACTGTTCATAAAATAGTTATTAGGAAGTCATATTTCTGATCAATGTTCCATTAATATGCTTTTCTACAGAAGTACAAAAATTAAATAAAATGTTTGTATAATCACACAAATACACCAGTATAGTATAATACTTATCAAAACAATCTTGAGCTTTTGTGTATCTTGTCAAAAGGGCTACTGTGAGGATAAGAACTGGCTATAGAAACATGTTCACTAATATTGACATTAGTGTGATAATTTGATTTGGGGCAATTTGACCAAATTTGCTGGGGCATTTTGTAGCTGTCACTACTTCCTATATAATAGATAACATTATCTTAAACACAAGCCATTATTCAAGGATTTACATTACTAATTCTGTGGACGCAACACACCCGTTATAGCCAAAATGATTTAATATTTCAAGTCGGCAGTATTTCACCCCAATCATGACGATTTTAGCCCGAGAAGGGCTATAAACCTATAAGCCTATTTGATGATAGTTTTACGATGTGTAACGGGATACACCCGAACCGGCCTGAAGCCGAACCGGCCCCTGGATATTTAACCCAAACCGGCCCTTGGATATTTAACCCAAACCGGCCCCACACCCAAACCGGCCCCTGGGTTAATTAACAGGAATCAGACAGACAATTAATCAGACAGACATGAAGATTTCAATTAATTTATTTAATTTAACGCAAGAATCGGACACGTTATCCATGATGAACAAATTATGAATCATGTCCTTCAGATAATGTCTTTTATAAGATTATACGAAAGGTGAAGATAACAGTATACGGTGCAGTTGACACTGAGTGAACGCAATCAGTGTCAAGTAAGAGCATACGCTTAAGACAACATGTACATTAATTCGCTCACGATAATCCGTTCAAAGAAATATTAAAACAACACATTCACTTTAATCGCTCAGTGAGACGTGCGTAAAATAACACTTTAATTTTGGAGCTGAAGAATGTTTTAGTTTTCATAATGTTAGCAGAATTCACTCTGTGAAAGGTGGTTAATGTGTGTTGAAAATCTTGACAAATGTTCCAAGCATGGAAACATGCAAAAAAGATGAAGGACGACATTATTTTTCGTTACTGGAAACTTGGGCATAACAAAGGTGAAACGTGAATTCATTATATTGGATTTATGTGCTATTCTTGTATTGAATTAATGTGTCAATTCTGTGGATACGATACAACGAAATGTAAGTACACGTTTTACTTTAGGATTGTTTTGCAATTGATCTTTTAGATTCTTAAAAGAATTACATAAAATGTCCTCTGCCACGGGATCTCCGTGATCAGCAGCACTTGCATGCATCGACACTAATATTCGCTAATATATTTTCAAAATTGATATTACATGTAAAGACATATGAGTAATATGTTTTCGTCATTTATGTTAAAGGAATTCATATGTCAATGTTGAAATATTTACTTTTCGGGCCGGTTTGGGTCAAATATCAGGGGCCGGTTCGGGTTAAATATCAGGGGCCGGTTCGGGGTAATTCTGTGTAACATACTGCCAGAGATCGGTATATATGCCGCTCTGATACATTGCGTAGTGACAGTTCTAGGGTTGGATTTCTATCCATGAGCAAAATCCTAGAAAGACAGGCAATATAAACATCATATAAATACCTCTACAGCATAAAACAACAATTCAATAGCTGTTCCTTTCCATCAAGATGCTGTACACGTTATTTGCGTTTTTCAATGTTTGGTGCTGCACGTAAGGAATATGATGAAATTATAATCTAAGCCGGCATAATTGTCCGTATAAACACTCGCATATAGAAATATTACAGTTTCCCTCGATAACGAAATGTAGAGAATTACCTGTCAATAAATACCTGACTGTATGCAACCCTTCTTAAGTTTACAAGCCGACTTCCTCAGAAGGACTTGACATGTGAATACCACAACACGTCATCAGTTTGTGTGCACAACGGTATACCTATCAAATTTCTTGCATGGTTCTTCTCTGAACGTTTTCGAATTGATAATTAAGAGATTTCCATCTCTGCATTGCTAAATTCATTTAGTTTTATTATTTCAAAAGTGTAATTGGTAGTGTTGTAGATACATGCAGACTTATGACCAATATTTCAAGTATATTAAGTATAAACAGAAACTTCTCCCATGACTCAGTTACCTCCCCTAGTGGTGATAGAAAATTCAAATTCTACCGAAATTAGCTGAGGACATACCACCCCAGCTGTGTAGTTCTATCAATTGAATTATCTTGTTGTACAAAATATCAAGTAAAAACTCAGACAAACACTGAGATATCCCATGTTTGGAATAGTGATTAGTACGTTAATACATCCAAACATCTCTATCATGGTCCAGTTTCCATTCCAACTTTTAGACGAGTTGGCGATGTCACACTGTAGACTGGTTTTTGTACAGATAGTCGCAACCGATGCGTTCAGTAGGCAGATTCTATTTCATGTTCACGTCACATTACAGTTTTTATTTAAACATTCATGTCAACATTCTAAACGTTTGGAATCAAACTGCCTAAATGCAGTAGTGTTACATAATTTTCGCCATCTCATAACATCTGGTTAATACTGCTCCCGTGGATATTGCTAATTATTTGTGCCTCTGCCAGTTGGGCACTTATAGTTCAGATGGCCGTTCATTCTAGTGAAATATGATAACCCCACCGCGCATTTGTGTCTGTATTGTACTAACTTACGTGCCACGCGGCTTATTCCGCAACCTAGGTTAAAGTGGACTTCTATCTTTAATAAAAGGCCAATCATCTGATCATTTCAGACCTCGAGTACGAAAGCGGATCTACAGGAAGCGCTCGTTTAATCATCAATATCAGGGATACTCTACAACATAGTCTTATATAGTCTCCCTGTCAATATACACCATCTTCTTCAAATGAACAGGAACGATTTTTTTTATTGATAGACAACTTCTTTGTTGCAATGGATGCGACGTAAAGAAGTTGTCAATCCATTAAAAAACCGTTCCCGTTCATCATACCGGCTTCTAAATGCCACTTGAATTTAAGAAGTTGTCTTCTTCAAATATCGCAGGCGCTCGTCATTTACTTCAATCAGATCCCATGTACTAATATATTACATTGTCTCTGCTTAAATAAAGGCATCAATTAAACAATCCAGAGATCTGTTGTCTTCCGTTTGACGACCTGCCCCTGATAGTTATCTCCCTTTGTGGTAGAACTGAACGTAAAGCAACGTAAAATGCAACTTTCACTCTCAAAATAGTTTTTGTTTTACTATCGGATAAAATGTGTAAGGAAGGGGCAGATACAACTTTTTGAGAAAGGTGTGTGTGTGGGGTGGGGGTTGCACACTTCATTTTCACGAGTTTCAATGGTCATTTAATAAACTTTCAGGACAAAGGGGGGTGGGGGGTGGTAAATGCTTTGTATCTGGATCCGCCTATGGGAATTTCAACAGAAATCATGGGGTTTTTCGACATAAAATGACATAAAAGGTAAAAGTAAGACCGGCCGGCCGACACATATTTTTTTTAAAAAGTGATGAGAAACAAGAATATTTTCTTCTCTAGTGTGCAGAATAAAACAATCTTAGGGACGGGTCGCACTTTTAGGTCGGGCGGTATTTAGAAACAAGAATATTTTATATAAGTTAAAATACGCCTTGTCATAATCCAACAATGACATTTACTGAAACAAGAGACTTCAACTTTGTGTATATGGTGGTGAATTTATTTTTAGTGAAAAGTTTTTTTAGGAGTGACATGAATATAAAAGAATCACACTTTTTCAAGTCGTTTGATATAATGCCTACACTCTGTTTTAACCGCGAAAGAGCCTGGTATATAAGCAGGTCCAGCTCGCCCCATGTCTTATCGTTTATAACTCTCGATCAAGATGGATTTAGCTCTGCTTCTAAGCAGTATTTAGTATTGGACAGTGCATAATTAGAATGCATTATATAATTATATAGTAACCTAATCAGGTGCGTAATTATTTTGTCGATCGTTAAATTTAAAATCTTTTACAGACGCTTTGAAAAATAAAAATCAACATTTTTGGTGGCTTATATCAACCATCGCCCCATCCTACAAATCGATCTTAGATCCTCGACTGTCTTACTTTCAAAGATTTTATGTAACTGAATTTTAATATCTAACGCCGAAATCTAATGATTTTACGACCGCTTTGCTCATTTCATTTTCAGGCGATGGATACGGTTGCCCAGTCTGTTTCACGGTCAGACAATCAAGTGTGTCCCAATAGTAAATGGACGTGAAGATGGTTCAGGAGGCAGAGAAGGAAATACTGGCATGTATTTCACCGCGGATCAGACATATGATCGAAGCCTTGATGCTTGAAGGAAAAGTTGGTGTGTGTTTTGGGAAGGTTCGAGTGATTGACACACTGACAAGGTAACTGTTTTGATTTCATCAAACGTCAGAAGTGATCCTCATCCGATAATGACATTTCATTGATGAATCAGTTGAGCATTTGTTTAATACAGTCCATACAAAAACTATTTCACCGTCAATATTTCTGGCATTTTGGTCATATTATGTCAACATGTTGAAATTGGTAACTTATCAGAATTGTAATTTACTGTTTTGAAAAGTAGAAACCGGTCAGGGGGTAAATGCTTTGTATTATAGCCAAATAATATTTCATTCTTGGCTCGAAAAATGATCTGACAGGATATTAATATTCATATAAATATAAGAGAATCTATTTTCAGTTGCGCCTCAGTTCACACGTACCCCAACTGCGACAGGTTCAAGCTTATCGTACCATATGCTGGCCAGTCCATCACATGCAAGTGTATATTTGAATTAATTGTAATGACTTATTTCCTGTTCATTGCCATGAGAGAGTTTGGAAATGAATAAAAGAATACATTCTGCACTGAAAAATAATGTGTTTTCATCTGGTTGAGTTAATTTCCTGCATCAAGTGCGTTGCAGGGCAACATATTCCTCTTTTTTTCCACAGCTTTCTGATGCTGAACCTGGTAAAACTTACAATATGATGTGGCTGTTGTAATATTTCAGTTGTAATGGGAGTATGTTTGATGTTTTAGGGGAAGTATTGTTTGACTGCAACCATCCGAAGGATCCTCCAGATTTCATATTTGGCCCAGATGATGATGAGTTTTGTCCAAATTTGGAAGATCTACAGGTATGTTACAACACTGATGCGCTGTTTATAGTGGGATGGAGGTAATGTATTCAGTGCAGCTTTGAACAGTTGTCATGTCAGTTGAATGTGGGAGGAAAATGTCAAGTAATGCAGGTCGTAGAAACCCAATAAAATCGTGGAAGGTTTTCCCGCTGTTACACCAACAAACCAGGGATCATATTTTGAGCAAAGATAATATTCAAACACTTGGGCAACAGCTATTGGCTGGGCTAAGGGATTGTCTGATCCAGCCTGCACCACACTATCATTCAGGTAGAATATTGCTGAATACAGGCATACAAAAACATACAAAACAAAGGCAGTCTATATTTCCACTTCAAAGCTTTGAAAGTAAACTGGCAGGAATACTGTCTGTACATTCTCTTAAAGGTGGGGCGGTGGGGTAGCTCAGTGGTTAAAGCGTTCGCTCGTCACGCCGAAGACACGGGTTCGATTCCCCCCATGGGTACAATGTGTGAAGCCCATTTCTGGTGTCCCCCGTGATATTGCTTGAATATTGCTAAAAGCGGCGTAAAACCATACTCACTCACTCACTCACTCTTAAAGGTATTGCTTTTTGATATTTTGTCAGTGTTTGCATGACTGGGACTATGATGACTCGCGATCGCTGTTGGAGATGGTGTCAGAACTACTGGAGAAGTATCGTCTACATCAGCAGACGTTGATAGAGAAGAGCTCACGACTCAGTTTTGACTTCTCCTCACTCATGCTCCAGGAAGAAATCACACCAACAGATGTCGAGATCATGCTTTCTAAGAATGAGGTAAAGTACTGATGAATAATTATTGTGTTTGCTTTCCTTGTTTCAGTGATTGGGATTGGCTCATGTGAAATTATCTTCAGTAAACATAGTTCTTGTGTATACTGCATTCCTCAGATATTCTTGCTTCCTCTGGGGCGGTGGGGTAGCCTAATGGTTAAAGCGTTTGCTCGTCATGCCGAAGACCCGGGTTCGAATCCCCACATGGGCACAATGTGTGAAGCCCATTTCTGGTGTCCCCCGCCGTGATGTTGCTGGAATATTGCTAAAAGCGGCGTAAAACCAAACTCAGTCAGTCAGTCAGTCTTGCTTCCTCTATATGAGGAATATGGACATTGAACCCGTGTAGATTTGAGGTCACAGATGTCCATCTGCTATGGGGAATGTTGCACGAGACATATTGCTGATGTAATTAGAATATTCGTTGATCATTGATAGCTGTTTTCCCTCTCACTGAACCAGGATCCAGGTCATGCCTTAATTTCTTAGTTAAACATTGCTACTTCACTGAAAAGAGGATATTAAAATTCATGGGCAATGGAGGTATGTAGTGTAGACACCTGTAATATTTTGCTGGTGGAGGTATGAACTGACAATGACATGGAACATGACTGACTGCAGAAATGACTTGTTGGTCAGATGGGACAGTCCATCTTGAGCATTGTCAGTTTGATCAGTTTGATTGTTGATGGAATAGAACTATCCAATGTGATTATCATTTGCAAAAGTGACTTATGCCCCTGAAGATCTGGGTTAGAATGGCCTTCAGCACTCCATGCTTCTTGTAAGAGGTGTCTAATGGCTTGCTGACTTGGTTGATGTGCTTGAGGTCAATCACTGGATTGTCTGGTCCAGGCTCAATTATTTACAGACTGCTGCCATACAGCTGCAGTGTTAAACAACAAACAGTATTTGACTAAGACTATTTCTCATGTTTTAACTATCACATTATTTCATCTTGCCCTATGCTGCTTCTATTGTTTATGTTTCATCCAATGTGTGTAGTTACTAAATTAACTCAATGCTATACCTTTTTCCTTTACAGCATGGCAAGATGGGGTCAGTGAAGTTCCTTGTGAAATTGTCCATAGATTTCTCAAAGATTCCGGCATATTTAACAAAGGTAGCTCTCATTTTAATTATTTGAATTTGACACTAAAATTTAACTGCATTTCAATCAACAATAAATATTTGTCCATATATTTTAGGGTCTGTCATTTGACCTGTAGTTTTTGTTAGTAACAACTCTTTTTGAAGATGGTCATGTTCAGTGACATGTTTGATTGCGTATCAGTATAAATAATACTCATCACTTGAAATGTGTGTACTACCCGTGAAGGTCTGGGTTAGAATTGATCTTCAGTAACTCATGCTTATCGTAAGCGGCGACTAACGGGATCGGGTTTCCAGGCTCGCTTTCTTGGTTGACACATGTCATCGGTTCCCATTTTGCGCAGATCAATGCTCATGCTGTTGATCACTGGATTGTCTGGGCCAGACTCGATTATCTGCAGACCGCCGCCATATAGCTGGAATATTGCTGAGAGTGGCATAAAAGTAAACTCACTCACTCACTGTATGTACACTTAAGTACATTTATGTATATCTGTGTATAAATATATGTGTGTGTTGTTTGTGTTTTCAGGACAACCCGGGAGAAGACTCGGCAATGTTGTTGTTAAGTCTTCCATCTCCAGAGAGTTCACGAGTCACACCCCAACTGTTCCTGTCACCCAAAGTAGAACAGTAGGTGCCTTTCAGGCATATTGCTGATGTTATGCAAAGTAGAACAGAAGGTTGCATGGTTTTGCGATAGGTTGCACCAGTGCGGGCCAGATATGTTTCACCTGTTGTTCACTAGTAACTATTATCATCACAATTTTCTATTGATGCATGAACACAAGCTTATGGTGTAGGCAGAATCATACAGTTCACTCAAATATGTGAATGAAACTGAATGGCCAAATTTAGTAACTTTGTATATGAAACCCACCAGAGATTTGTCTTCTTCGTACCTCAGTGACTTGTTTGAGTAAGTGAGTGAGTTTAGTTTTACGCCGCACTCAGCAATATTCCAGCTATGTGGCGGGGTCTGTGAATAATTGAGTCAGGACCAGACTATCCAGTGATCAACAGCATGAGCATTGATCTGCGCAGTTGGGAACCGATGACATGTGTCAACCAAGTCAGCTAGCCTGGCCACCCGATCCTGTTAGTCGCCTCTTACGACTTGTTTGATGTTCTTGAACTGTTTTCACGTGATTGCAGCGCCCTAGGTGGATCATCCAGTCTGCGGATACCCAACTTTGTATCAGGAACACCCTTAGGGGATTATGTGCATAAAGTATGTCAACTGTTGAAAAACAAGGTACGTAGTCAACGTAGGTATCAGAAATCTTATTGTATGTGAATAAGACAGTAATCTCCCCTTGAGGCATCGGATTCACTGACTAACTAAGTCAGAAATATGGCAGACCAATAAAATTCCAGTTTATTTAAAATCAATGGCGAGTTTAATCGTCATGCTTTCAAATGCAGACACAACTGCATGTTTGAAACAGTATGCTGAATGCCTTATTTGCTCTGGAACTACTGGTACATGGCACACGTTGTCCTGGCCATTGCACTGGCTACGCTATTCAGTAAAGTTAGGCAACATTTGTCTCCCGAGTTTAGTGGGTGACCGTGTTGGGCATGTTGACACGTGAAAGTTTCGGGGGTTTGTCCTCACAATAGTAGATCCAGCAAATGTAGCATCTTCACAGACAAGTGACAAGTTCAAAATATGCCTCATTTCATCCATCAGTGAATGGGTACCCAGTAGGATGATATGGTAATGTGGCTGTTAGTCTTCTGTCACATCACAAGCAGTTTGTAAAATGTACGTTATTAAGCACAAACAGTGAGACTTAAGTTGAAAACTTTTAATAAAATTTGAAACAAAAATATACATGCAATACATCCAGCCATAATCTCACGCTACAGATCAACACAAAGTATCGTCATATAAACCTGTATAGCGATAAACATTATAATGAAATGTATGAACCTTCAGTGATAGAAGTAACACACAAAGCAGGAGTGATTATTGTTTGTTTCGTATTTTTAGTTTCGTATCACTGGGCTGTGCTCATAACTACTGTTTTTGTGTACTCCCCTGGGAGCTGAGAATGAAAATCGAGTGCACACCAATCCATAGACCAGGCTAATAATGAATGGTGAATGGTGACCAGTAGTGAATAGAATCTCTCTCATTATTGATAGACCAATGTGACATTAAATTCTCTGTAAGTAGGAGAATCGTGAGATGAAGTTGGTGACATGACTTTTGTAACAAAGCCTTGATGGACAGAGCACAAGTCTGATCGGCTGGACATTGGTTTCAAATCACGAATAACACTCCCTCATTGGATGGTTTACAGGTGGATATAGTGATACAAGGCCACGACAAGAAGAAGGAGTACCTGGCTTCCTTCTTAAGCCTGTATGGCAGGTGAGTCTCAGTGTAGTCATCACAGCCCTGACTGAAGTTTTACCAGACTGAACTACAAGCACAACATGGACTACTTAGAACATGTACAAAGGGAAAATACCTTAGAAGGAACTTCCATATTTATGTCTTTATGAGGCATCAACTGAAGAAACCATGGTCACTCTGTAGCATGGTAGATTTATGCAAAGGGTGCACACCATTTCTTATGTTATTTTTATACTGAATAAATACATAAATGTTACCTTTTTATGAATTTTTATATATTCCAAAGATTCCCACCGTAATAAATTCAAGGGCTGGTTATTAATCATTAGCAAAGAGATAAAAACTATACAAAATCAGTGACATGTTAATGGACAATAGTGTAACACAAGCCTTACACATTCTATTAATAGATAATCAGGAAACAGTCGTTTATTAATAGCTCTTCTAGTTATGAGATGTGGAACAGTTCTATTATCGGCTGTTGATTTCTGCTGCAGCTCAGTGTTAATGGTATGTTGATATGTCCCACCTATTTTCTTGTACTTCTGTTTCAGATCGGTTCTTGAATATGACATGGAGAACTTTAACAAGATGTCATACCTGTTTGAGTGGAATGACTTCTTCTTTGTAATCATTAGTAAGTAGAAGTCATTGTTCCAGAATATGTAGTCGTCAATAAGTAGTGAAAGATACCTGTTATGGATAAAAGCAGTGTAATTCTGCAGGTAGATCAACATTGAGGTTTAATATACTGATCTTGAGGCTCAGGATTTAAATACTGTAGCAGCAAGTCTCAAGGAGGGCTCGAGCACCCTTTAATGAAATGTATGAAAGACTTTCAGTGCATTCTGATGCATAGAATCATTTGAGATGAATCACTTCACTGTCAAGGAGTCTGTGTAATAACTATGTTGTTAAAAGTAAAAAGACTCTCTCACTCTGCATAGACATTATTGTCATTAATGTCAACCAAGACCATTTTACATAAAAGTAACATTAGTACAATTTAACATATAACTATTGTTTTCCACACATGTCAGGAAGGTTATGCTTTCAGATATATACCAAAGTTTTCAGTGTTTACTATGCGGCCATACCAATTTCTCATAGGTAATTTTACCTGCTGCAACACTCCATTGATGTGAAGTCATGATGTTCTATAACAGTGATCTGTATCATGTGTTTTGTATGATAAAAAGGGGTCAGAATATCCGTATGTAGCATATACATCAGTAAGGTGTTTGTATTTCAGTTGAGATGCCACTCTTCTTCCCCAAAGAGCAGCCAGTGTTCACGTTTCAGTCTATATACCACGAACACAAGGGCAAACCATACACGGAATCCTACCACGACTACCCCTACAGCCCTCGCTGGAGTGGCACCGAGATGGCCGAGAGGGCAAGGTGAACTGCTGTTTGTCCAGACTTCCACTGAGCCATCTAGGCTTTGACATTTCCAGTTTCTTGATTTACAGATATCAGTGTATGAAATAAGGCCTGTCCGACCTCCCGAGACGGGCTAGATTTCTGCCGTACGGTCTAATTTTACAGCTAGCCAGCCCGATGGACGGGTGAAAAAATATATTCAGATAACGTGTCCACTGGCACTGTCTATGTAGTATTTAAGAGGGTCTGGTTAAATCTCTTCTGGGCTGGTAAGTTTTTGAAGTTACCATCCCAGATGTCTGGCTGGGGTTTTGGCTTATTTCATACACTGCAGATGTCTATTTTTGCAGTTTAACAGACGTAGTATGCTATGGGCCTTTTTGTGCCCCCACTGGATCTGTAACATAATTCTATGTTGAAGTATACTGAGTTGCAATAGTTTTAACAGTACTAATGTTGGGATTCTGTGTTGAGTTGTACAAATATCTGTTTCAGTTGTACTAAATTGTTTCATGTCCTTTCAAGGTGATTTATTCTTTTTTCAGATCATTTATTCTTGACACAGTAGGAGTCTTCCAGAGGACTTCAGTGCAGAATGGACAGTTTTGAGATTGCCATACACTTAATTTTCAACAACCTTAGTGCAATGCGACTTCCACAGTCTTCGGTGCTCAGTGGCTCCCAACACAAGAGAAAAATCAGGATTTGACATTTTTATCTGAAAGAAGATTCCACATCCTCTGTAACATTTTGCCATCTGAATTTGAGATGCTTACTTGTGCGTCATGCATAAGAATGTTCAGGTGGGTGGGTGTTGGGGGTTCATCAGCTTGATGTCGACCAAGTCATCAATTCACTTAACCACTGATAACGATGTGATTCTTGCAGTGCCAACAGTGACCCCTCAGTTCTTAGCTTTACAGCGGAAGCTCTTAAAGGGAGTGTTTCTCTTTATTGTGACATGTGACTCACTGCAGTGCATGAATGAGATATATTATATGATACGTGCTATTAGATATACTTGTTCATGAATGATCCAACATTTTTATGACTTGGATCAGTTGTGAACTTTTTGTACGTTTGTAACTTAGTTTTACTTACTGACGAATAACACTAAAATGTCTTAGTTGTGATGGGGAATCAGGACATACCTTTAAAAGTAACATCAGGAATGATGGGGTAGTGCAGTGGTTAAAGTGTTCGCTTGACATGCTGGAGTCCTGGGTTTGTACCTCACATGATGTATGAAGCCCTAGGTCCCCTGCTGTATTATTGCTTAAATATTCTGAAATATTCCCAGTTAAAAGCCACACTCACTCTCACACCAAGTAATATCATTGTGACAACCCAATCAATTGTTCCATGATCTCTTTCATTCAATGATTTCCCTTAACTAAGTACAGCTAAGTGGTTGTAACCGAGGATATTTTAAGCTTTAAGTTTGCAGAACCAATTACCAGTGCTACAAACTGTCACTGTGCAATGAAAGCGGACATTTGACCGATCTGTGAGTGAACTGATAAAATACAAAAAACTTATTTAGAAACATCAGTTTCACAAGTACATTATTAGAAACCATATTATAAAAACCAATAAACTGAATATGGGCATTAATGTATGTTCTATGTTCATTCCACCAGCTGGTTAATTAACAGATATGAAGTCATATGCTTTAATGAAAAATTGACTTTTTTTCTGTAAGTATGTATGCACCTCCATAATAAGTGAAGACCAGAATGACGTAAAGTTTATCATGTTGAATTGCTATTTTTGTGGATGTGATTGAGATGGTATACGTGACAACTCCGGATCCTGACCACTGATCTATTTGGTTGCCTCTTAAGGACCTGTGGGACTTATTCTGACCTGGAATCCCCCTGAGGGAAAGGTATCGTACAAGGGATTTGAAACAAGCATACTTTCAATCACAAACAGTATTTTATTTCATTTGCTTTTGACTCTTGAATATCTTTGGGCAGGAGGATCCTCACAAGAACACAAGGTCCTTGTGTTGTCTTGGACTGAGAGCATACATCATAATCTACGTGCAATAATTAAGGTTATCCCGTTTTGATGTAATACAAGTATAGTTCTAGAAGCTTGATGAGTTAACATTAGGAGACCTAAACTGTAATAGTAGGGCATTACTAGCTTCTGCCAACTACCATGGAAGTCTTACAGGCTTGTTGATGTATAATTTCACTGTCAGATCCGGAAATAAAATATATAGTCTCTTTATAACATAAATACTTAATTTTAGATATACAAGAAAGATTTATGATGAAGAATAGTTATTAATATGTGTTCATAGTACCTCCGCACCTCAAAGACTGCAGTGGTGGTGTTAGTGCTTGCTTATTAGCGAAGCCGTATGATTACAAATTTACCTTGATCATGTTTTTAGGTTCGTCAGCAGGAACAACTGTTCCGGTATTTCACCAATATTGGTAAATGTGTGAGGACTGCATCAGTTTGACCATTGCCATGTGGGGATTACATGAAACACTGTTCAAATCGTCTTGAAGTCTCACCACCACACTCTTATTGCTTGTAGCAAGGCATGCAGTTGATCATCAAAGCTATACGCAAACGTCATATTAACACCAGTGTATCAATCTTGCTTATGTAAAGTGATGTAGAAGCCAGCTTTCTTCCACTCGTATATATCCACAGATTTTATTGATCGGTATTTTTCACGAGATAAAAAACGAGAACCATTCTATCAAACATACCCTGGAAATGTATGTAAAAACGCCATGGAAAATACGTGAGACATCTTGTGTCACTAATGCATTCAATTTGGAAATAGTTTTTGGTTTTTATCTGCTAAAGCCTGGAATGTCATAACTGTTGAGCAAGAGTCGTATTCAACCTGTGCAGAAAGGGCATGCTTGATTTTACTTGAAATGTAGATATTTGTCGGGAGTTACTTGAACATTGCTCAACATAAAGTTGAATATTGGAGGTTGAAGCCTTCCTTCTTGTCATACTGTCCTTTGGACAGTTGGTTATTTTTTACTCTGAATCTTTGATGATAGATATATATTTTAAATGATGCGTTTTAACTTGTCTCGGGCAGTGGGGTAGCCTAGTGGTTAAAGCGTTTGCTCGGGACCCGGGTTCGATTCTCCACAGGTACAATGAATCCCATTTCTCGTGTTCAACGCCTTGATATGGCTGGAATATTGCTACAAAGTCACTCGCTTTACTCCCTGGTCTCCTATACATGTATTTGTAGTTAATGCGGGTCATCCCATGGAAGGGCATTGGCTTTGTGGCCAATGTAGAACGATCTCAGATCATCAATATACCTGAAGCTCGAGTTAGAATATATAATCAAGACTTTGGGGGCAAATTCCTTTCTTTTTGAATTTGCTAATCAGATACAGAAATTCCGTTTCGTATGCATAGAAGAGACCGGCAACCGAGTGATTTTTAGACGTCTCAAGCAGGATGTCCCAATTTTCGATGTCTCCAATTCCACATTGTACCATATTTCAGTTATATCACGGAGGGTGAAAGAAAAACCGAAACTGATGCGAATCAGGAATTCAGACCCACACTTGTGGAACTCATTAGCGGGCTCCTCATTTCTGTGGGCGCTTATTTTACCCACTGTATTACCGTTTTTATAATGTAAACCAAATTTTGTGTGTTTTCATATATTTATCCATATCTTGTATGGTCATGTTCTGATTTACAGTTTAGTCCTGTGCACCAATTTCTGGATTTAATCACTTCATACTTTGAAATCACTTCCAAGCAGTATGATGTGATATCTTCCAGCGAATTCCTTCTGTAATTTGGTGTCTTTTGGACAATACCAAGAACGCAAAGGTCAAATCAAGGTACAATATATAACCCCTTGAACTAATTCAGGTGTCATCAAGAATGTTCTGGAAGCATCACTGGAAGAGGCCGATAGTTGGCCCTAAACAAGGGCTTTACCGTTTCTATTCTGCCTAGACGTCCGAGTGTGTTAACGTTATAATAGTTCAGGGCAAAAGTGTACTTTATTACACTATACGTAGGGGTAGAGCGAACTGTATTTTTTAAGTAATTTGGCCAGCGTAATTGTTTTGGATTTAGAGCATACCCCTGGCATTTGGAATGACCATGTTATCTGCAGAATAGTTCCCTGGTATTCCAGAGAAACTGAGGTGGCCAGACAGGTGGAGCTGGCTTATAGTACACCCACACTGTACAGCATTTGCATGTCGTACAAGGCCCCAGGTAGTCTGATGCTGTTCCAAGATAACACTTCATGACAGGAAAGTCTTGAAGTGACATGGCAGCTACACGACTATATCGTTCAGGATCGGGGTATCATATCTGTAGTTAGGGTCGATGTCTTTGACACGATTCACATTTGCATGAGTGTCCATTACCGTGGTTTATTTAACAACATGGTAACCACGTGGGGCGTTCCTAGAATGCGTCCCCGGCAACCAGCGTTCGAAATTAACGTCGGGCCTTACAACTTAAAACCACTCGGAACCACAGCTTTTGTTTTCTGCAGGTCCTTACGGCCGACAGCTTTTTCATCCCGAAAAACTAAGAGCATTGTTTCCATATTAAAATATAGGGCCTACACATTCTGATCAGGACCCACTACTTTTAATTGTTATGGGTCCTTAGGGCCTGCAACCTTTCTGGGTGAAGGGCAAACACTGCCAGCAACCTAAGTTCGCCTTTAGAGGAGATCAGTGAGTGAGTATGGTTTTACGCCGCTTTTAGCATTATTCCAGCAATATCACGACGGGGGACACCAGAAATGGGCTTCACACATTGTACCCATTTGGGGAATCGAACCCGGGTCTTCAGCTTGAGAGATAAGCCATCTCCGGCAGGTAGGATGTAGCTCATAATGTCGGTCACTTGTTGCCTGTCTCAGGTATTTACAGACCGCAGTAGTATAACTGGAATATTGGTCAGTGCAAACAAACGAACGAACGAAGAGATCCTAACATGTTTGCAGAGCGGTGTTTTAAGTTTTCATTTTTCTTCAGTTTTTTCTTATGTGTACACGTTGAATGAATTCGTGCATGGCAGATACGATTTCTCTCACGTTTGAAATGTAAGACGCAAGACTTCATGGCTTAAGACAGGTTAAATTTAGCAGGAAAGTCGGCGACTCGGTATATATTACCTAGCAAGGTGTACTGACAGATGTGTCAAGATAGCACAACAAGCATCAAACACATTGATTGGTGACGTAAGTTCGCTAAGGTCGAACAGATTGTAGAAGCATAATGAAACGTTGCAAAAGTGTGAAAAAAAGTGTAAACACGTCGTCGTTATTATCATCAAATACCGTATTTTTATCCCCCGCAAGGGGGGTATTAAAATGGACTCCGTCCGTGCGTGCGTGCGTGCGTGCGTCCGTCCGTGCACTTTCGTCTTTTCCGGAGCAGAACTCTAAAACCGTTCACTATTTCTTCACCAAACTTGGCACATAGATAGATCTGGTGGTGTACTGGTGCCTTTTGGTAGTTTTGGAATTCTGAATAAGATATTTTTTTGGCATTTCCATGGCAACAATTTCGACTTAGACTGAAATTGATGGTAGTGCTCTTTCCGGAGCAAAACTCTAAAACCGTTCTCTATTTCTTCACCAAACTTGGCACATAGATAGATCTGGTGGTGTACTGGTGCCTTTTGGTAGTTTTGGAATTCTGAATAAAATATTGTTGGCGTTTCCATGGCAACAAGTTTGACTTAGACTGAAATTAGTGGTAGTGCTCTTTTCCGGAGCTGAACTCTAAAACCGTTCACTATTTCTTCACAAAACTTGGCAGATAGATTGGTCTGGTGGTGTACTGGTGCCTTTTGGTAGTTTTGGAATTCTGAATAAAATATCTTTGGCGTTTCCATGGCAACAAGTTTGACTTAGACTGAAATTAGTGGTAGTGCTCTTTTCCGGAGCTGAACTCTAAAACCGTTCACTATTTCTTCACCAAATTTGGCACATAGATAGATCTGGTGGTGTACTGGTGCCTTTTGGTAGTTTTGGAATTCTGAATAAAATATTTTTGGCATTTCCATGGCAACAAGTTTGACTTAGACTGAAATTAGTGGTAGTGCTCTTTTCCGGAGCTGAACTCTAAAACCGTTCACTATTTCTTCACCAAACTTGGCAGATAGATTGGTCTGGTGGTGTACTGGTGCCTTTTGGTAGTTTTGGACTCCTGAATAAAATAGTTTGGCGTTTCCATGGCAACAAGTTTCACTTTGACTGAAATTGGTGATAGTGCTATTTTCTGGAGCAGAACTTTGAAAACCTTTCAATACTCCCCTTCCACTTTTCTATATACACACCTAAATATTTGACATAATCATAACTCGTAGACATAATCATGAAGAGTATTTTGCCATTGCGGGGGATATTGATGACTTTGTCTTCTTGTCTCAGTTAAAGGGGCAGTGGGGTTGGGTGCTGGTTCAAGCGTTCGTTCGTCACGCCGAGCTCCCCGATACATTTGCTTTGGGTCTCCGCCATGCTGCTGCTGGAATGTTGCTATAAAGCTACTAATTTCCAGATTCGCGTCCCAACTTTGATAGTCATCAGAAGTATGCTTTTAAGAGGAATTTAATTTATTATCTACTGCATCAGTGATATATAGGTCTGTGCAATCAATATCTACCGCATCAGTGATAATATATATGTCTGTGCAATCAATATCTACCGCATCAGTGATATATATATATATGTCTGTGCAATCAATATCTACCGCATCAGTGATATATATATGGCTGTGCAATCCGTAAACTCCAACCCAGGTCGTCAAGGTGATAGAGGTGGTTAATGTATTCCATAGTTACCACCCTGATTAAACGTTCGAGTACGGTCTGCTTTAGATAAAGCAAATCAAAACTAATCAGCGGATTCTGACACGCCGAAGGGGCGAAACTCTGGATGCGTCTTGGACGACAGTGTCACTCATGTTACCGTCATTTGAATTCAAGACAGTGGCAGGTTGGAAGTTAAAAAGTACATACATCGTTGTCCTAGGAAATATCTGACAAATGTTTCTCCCACGCTGTGTTTTCTGATTGTTTTCGCCAGTTTGACAGCTAAATATCTCGAATCTCTTCACGGAAGATAAACTTCCACATTGTTTTCGAGACATCTCCAAGTGATGATTTCAATCTGAACAGTGACTCGGATACCAACTTACACGACACCAAGTAATCATGTCGGTTGATATAATTTAATACCTCTACAGATAGTTTGTGCGTGGTCAATCTCATACGTCCATCTGATCAGAGCCTCCAAGGCTGCACGTCTCCTCAAAGATCACGCAAAAGAAATGCGCTAAGTAGTCTTGTACTGGAGACCTGAACAGTAACATCTCAGAATGTCAGCCAGATTAATATTCCTCATCGTCTTGAGTGTTCCAGCGGTTACCCCTCAGTTCTCATTTTCCAAACCAGCTTTCGTGGCACCTGCGAAAACAACCGCTACATCTCCAGGTGCAAAGAAATCCAAAAGCAGTACATTTTCCAGTATAGACACCCAGGACGTTAAATCCAACAGTTTTGACCTCTCGGAAAGTGTATCTCTCATAGCAAGCGAGGATAATTCAGGGACGTTTACACTGGACAGCTGCAAGAGCCAATGTTTGCAGGAGGACCTGTGTGCCGTCGCTGTACACTGTGAAGCAGAGGCTGGTGCACCTTGCATACCGCCGGCCTGTATGAGGTTTACCATCAGGGGCATGGGGCATTGCTATATGTATCAGATGTCCAGCGCAGGAGCAGCAGCATCGTCCATCCAAGATACAGATACCTGCAACTTCATGGTCTACCGTAAGGAATGCTTAATAATGAATTTTCTTTTTTTTTCACGGATCTGAAATGTTGGAAAATCATAAATTTGAGAACGATATTAGCCTGTTAACTAATATCGGTAATAGCATAAATGGTTAGAAAGTAATACTCGCCTTATAACATCTTTTAAATATCAACAACTTTACGGATGTTGATAACGAAGAATAGTACCCAATCAATTAAAATCCTTCACTTGAGAGTCTGACAGAGGTAATTTTGTTGTTAAATAATAGCGACAAAACCCTTTCTGACATAACAAATCCAGCATCCATTGTACGATAATATCAACGACTCGTGTTTACGCATTAACATCAAACACTGATGACACCTAGTGTTTCTTGGGAGATGAGAGTACCCTGCTGAACTGATGGCACTATTCACAAACACGTGCCAAAAGCAAGTCAAGCGTTTCCCTGCAAAACACGGGATCAGATTGTACAAGTCAACACAGGGAATTAACTTGGTGCACTGGTCATTGGTGCATCAAACATGTCTTTAATAGAACGTTACGAACGCTGAATCTTAAACCATGATCAAACAACTTTTAGATAAGAGTAGTATGCCTCTCATTGATAACGGACCCGGGTTAGAATTGGTCACCAGCAACCCGTGCTTGTCGTAAGAGGCGACTAACGGGATCGCTGAATTGGTTGATACACGTCATCATATCCCAGTTGATCGATGCTCATGCTGTTGATCACTGGATCATCTGGTCCAGACTCAATTATAACTCTTTGATGACTTCCTGGAAGAGCATGCTCGATAGGTTGGGTGAATTGATCGTAAGCCTCATAAAGCAGCTTTGGCTTACACCCCAGAGTGAGAGGAGAATGAAAATCGATTGCAAATCGATCCATTGAATAAGGTAATAATATGCAACTTTAGGCATTCTTCAATGTGTAGTTATGTTCTTCCAATCGATTTCAAATGTTCTATATCGATTTAAAATGTTCACGGTGAGTTGCAGGTCAACCTCCTCAATTCTATGAAGTAACTTAATTTCAAAGACATCTCTTAATCAAGAACGGTATAATACTGCATGCCTCTAAATACGAATAACTCCCAAGGGCGACAAGACTACATAATGTTTTCTTTTATTCTTTTTGTTAGATCCCAACTGTCGGAGTTCGGCGCCAACACTAGCTAATGCGAACTCGAACCTCCGTGTGTTTAAGACTGGTGGCTTGGTAGAGGTGAAGTACGCCTGTAGACCTGGTCATATCGTTAAAACATTTGGGTCAGCCGTCGCCACATGTGACAAGAATGGTGTATGGATTGAACCCACTGTTGTATGTGACAGTAAGTACAATGTGACATGTGACAGTAAGTTGTGTTGTATGTGTTTCTTTTGTCTTATATTTTGTGTTTATTTATTTTGTGTGTGCGGTCATGTGTACGTGTATGTGCGATGTGCCTTGTAAAATTGAATATCTTAATTGTTGGATTTCGTGTTCTAATAATGATGACATATTCTGTCAATTCTCTCTGCCGGATACATCCTATTTACCTATGTGTCTTCGTCCTCCAGGTGAGCGAACATCCAACACCGGCCCCAGTTCCGGAGGGCTTGGACAGGGACCAATGTTCAACAAAAAAACGAGATAAATCCAATTGGCACTGGTAATTATTAACTTATTTACCGTTACACGTTCAAACCATTCCAATGATCTCTTCTGAAATTGCGAGGTTTCAGTTCCAGAATGAGGATAGACCACCAGCACGGTAAGGTGCTGGAATGGTTATGTCTGTACCTCCAGGCGAGTCTATGGCTCCACAACAGTAGTTCTGAAACACACTGTACTGGCTAGCGAACAGTTATCGCCGCTGTGCCAATACATCAGTATCACACGTGCCCAGTTCCGGTCAGTTACATTTCTGGTATTGTTTCCCCATGGTATTTGACAACAATAAAGGACAGCAAAAGAAAATTATTCACTGTAAGTAACATAAGAGAAAAATTAAAGATGACGTTATGAATGATGTATAATATTTTTAACTTAGTCGGTTGATGCCCCACTACCTATATAATAACAAGTTCAAGTTCACAAGACATCTGTTGTTTCATTCCCTATCAATCTACTGTAAAAGAAACACTCAAATAGTCACACAATCAATTATTCGAGGTTACTGTATGATATAGATATATATATATTATTCCACGAATGGCATGAGAAATTCGGAATGGCGATAACTGTTACAGTTAGTTGTCAGAAAACATTTATTTATACCGCCATGATTCCCTTCCGCCGCGTTATATAAAAACATGATCGGCGGCAGTGAACGGGCTGGACACATCGGTGAATAGCTAATTAAGTATCATAATTAATTCTGTTTAATTAATTTAACAAACGGCGGAGTACGTTTGTAAATACCGCTAAAATATGGTGATAACTGTTTGGTAGCCAGTAACCAACTTTCAGATTCACTGCTCCCTTATTGACCAGTGATTCACCAACTTAGTTTTGTCCCTAATAGACGGCACCCTGAAGGTTCCGACAAACCGATATCCCAGATACAGAATTGGAGGGCATCGTTTGTATATGTTTCCGGAAAATAGAAAGTCCCCACGATCCAAGGATATCTTTGATCAGGCCTCGTGCAATCGGCCTCGTTGTGTCTCATCGAATGGGTGAACCAGGGATTTACCTGCTAAGCTTGAATATCGCTGACTGAATAGTAAAATAACATTTAGTCACTTCTGTGGACAAAACACTCCAATTCTTTCGCCTCCAAGATATTGTACATCATGTAAATCTAAAGGTCTTACCTATATTGAAGATGAATTTCATGTACTGTTCATTTGTGAATCCTATTCACAACTAAGAGAGAGGTTTATTACAAAATGTGTTAAAAAGTCTTATACAGTATATTCTTTAGCAAATCGTTTCAAGAATACTAATGAAGACACTGTAAAATCTGTTGCCTTGTATCTATTTTATGTTAAAAGGATTATTATAAACACACTTGAATGATCATTGTGCCCCTGACTACACTGGAATTTCATTGTGAATGTATTTTGGGCCTACGGCCTTTTACTGGAAATAAACTCTGTCTGTCTGTCTGATCAGAGGTATATATCATTGTTTCTATTCCAGATGGCAGCGGTAGCGGAGAGGGATCAGGTAAGATAGTCCTTGTTTTCTGGCTGGAAGAATCATCAATAATTATTTATATTGTGCAGGGGGTGGGGAGAAATTATTGGAGAGCTTGCCGAATGTCCTGTTTGTCTTCAACACAATCTCGCTCACTGTCACCAGGTACGTTGACAGGCAGGTCATGATAAGGTCATTATGTATTGTTCATAGTCGGAACATGGCTTGAAAATAAGTTGTGAACATGCTCATAAAGGGCCTCCACGAGTAGTACACATGTATCTCTTCATCTTGACATGTAAATATCCAGTCCGGTGTGTATTTCATATGTGATATTTACACTACTGTTCAACTGTATATATACTTCTCGTCAAAAGTTTAGACTCACTAGTGTAAACATAGCCACTTACTTCAGGCAACTGTTCTAAACTAAATTAATCAAATATTCCATACTGTTTAAAGGTACTGTTTACATATGAACTGATGTATTGTAAAACAAATTCATAACGTTGAAAATATTGGCGAATTCTTAACAAAACTTTACACCAAAACGCAGCTTATCACATGCATACACGATATTTGCACTCGCTTTTCAGCAATTTGATCTCCGTGCAATTCATCTGCATAAACTTTGCAGTTGGTTCCCCCAAGTTAGTGGAGAAATCAATCTTTGATGTAGCCACACACACACACACACACACACATATATATATATATATATATATACATATATATATTTATATGTATTCAGACACTTGCAGAGCAAGACGCAATGGTTGCACATTGAATGAATCTGTAGCTCGTTAAGGACAAAGCATACAGACAGTTGCAGGACAAGACACAACGGTTGTACATTGAATGAATCTGTAGCTCGTTAAGGACAAAGTATACAGACAGTTGCAGGGCAAGACGCAATGGTTGCACATTGAATGAATCTGTAGCTCGTTAAGGACAAAGCATACCCACAGTTGCAGGGCAAGACGCAATGGTTGCACATTGAATGAATCTGTAGCTCGTTAAGGACAAAGCATACCCACAGTTGCAGAGCAAGACGCAATGGTTGTACATTGAATGAATCTGTAGCTCGTTAAGGACAATGCATACAGACAGTTGCAGGGCAAGACGCAATGGTTGTACATTGAATGGATCTGTAGCTCGTTAAGGACAAAGCATACCCACAGTTGCAAGACGCAATGGTTGCACATTGAATGAATCTGACGCAATACCGGTTGCACATTGAATGAATCTGTAGTTCGTTAAGGACAAAGCATACCGACAGTTGCAGGGCAAGACGCAATGGTTGCACATTGAATGAATCTGTAGCTCGTTAAGGACAATGCATACAGACAGTTGCAGGGCAAGACGCAATGGCTGCACATTGAATGAATCTGTAGCTCGTTAAGGACAAAGCATACAGACAGTTGCAGGACAAAACGCAATACATTGAATGGTCTGCAGGGACAAAACGCAAAAAACAAAACGCAAAAACAACAACTACATTTGTTTGGCGTTATTAATTCAGAACTTCTCTAACCTTCAGACGACGGCAGTGGCGAGACACCACCGTAGGCCCAGCATGGACATCTACACCACGGAGACGACCCGGATGTATCTGGATGTTACTCTACAACTCTATACCATATATGTTAGGCAACAAGATCACAATTACATTTCAGTTTCCCCGCATGACCCGACGATAATGTTAGAATTGCATCAAATATATTTGTATCATTTTTGTGACAAAATATTTCAAGGTAACAACACCAACAAATGTAATCAAAAGAAACACAACTCTCGCGAGAGATCTTTCTACAACTTGGTTTAAAGATTGTTAAACAACCAACAGAGAAATATTCTTTTATCTGTCTAAGTAAACTTAGGCTCAGTATTATTCGCTACACTGCTATTCAGTATAGCAGTGTCACGAATAATACTGAGCTTAAGTTTACTTAGACTGATTCTTTTATGGACCCATACATAACTAACCGTCGTCATAACGTACCTATCCCTTAACAGCGAACAAAGACAATCAAAATTAATAGATGTTTTTAATATTTGGCATCTTCAAAATGAAACATTGCATGCACGCACACGCACGCACGAACACGCACACACGCACATCTTAGCTCGTCTGCCACATGGCATGCATGAACATACACACGGCTGCATCTCAGCTCGTCTGTCACGTAACACCGGGTAAAGTAACTAATATCAACCGACGATCCGACAAGCCGCATCTAACAGTACAGAGAATCCTTTACACTTGACCTCAGCAACAGAAGTATCGGTCTGGTCAAAATCATGAAGCAAGGTTTCGAATTAGTGTCCCTAAAGTGATATTACACGGAAAAACTCATTTCAACTCATTAAACTTCACAGAAATACTTAAGTGAGTTAGTTACACATTCAACACGCCGTTTGTCAGCTGACAGCTATGACATGTGATGCATGTTTATATAAAGGATCTCCTGCTACTTGGCAAGTTAAACCGGTGATTAAACGCTTACTAACCTATTGCCATGACATTTAGTATTAATACCAAGCATTTGGAGAAGAGGCTGTGCAAATAATAAAAAAACTCTTGTCAAGACTCCAGTTTCTTATCATTTTCACTACAGTAAAAAATCAAAAGGAAGCACAGTGTGACTTGTTTTCATCAACGTAGAATATATTTCCATCTCCATATATGATATTATAACCGTACGTATCATTACTGAGACCGTGAAAGTGTGTTGTGAAGTAGCTTAATATTTTGAAAAAACGTTGGATTTAGTTTATAGAATGTATATATGGCTTATTTAAATGTTTGGCATATTCTTAGTCGTTTATTTTCATTTGCCCCTTGTATTTTCACAGCTTACTGAAAACTTTTGAATTTTAAACTTAAAATGCCAAAATCCTCAAATGATTTTAATTTAACACAGAATCGACCCATTTAAAAGTAGGGTTGCTTTATGTAATGTTCAGATAGTGCCTCGATAAAGTCATATCAAAGTTGAAAGTCAAAGAAATCAGTCATTATTTATTAAGCCAGATGTTACACAAAACAGACCCAGAACTGTTTTCGATCAATGGGAAAATATTCGATTATTCGACAACTTTTTAAAGTAATATATACGTAGATTTAAGTATCACATCTACCTGTAAGAAACTGGTGTTCATGCCATTTAACCTCAGCACTATTTGAAGGAAATAGGTATTTTTCAAACAACAAGATCGTACTTCATTCAGTTTTGTTTATATGGTTAAGCTCTCTCATATGATTTACACAAACGCGCGTTGTACATGGAAGATTGGTCATCCTAATCAGATTAATTGTTTAGCTGTTTGATGTGGGATGACGTCATTTATGTGCATATGTGTGTGGATATATTTGTATGAGTTATATTTGCGTGGCTTCCGCTCTCTCTCTCTTCTTCCCCCCGCCCCCCTTTGGCTACTTGTCCTTGTCCAGAATTATGGTCTGCTTATAGTGTCAGTGGTTGCAAGGACTTGGATCAGGAGTGGGCGCAAGAGGAAGGCAGCGTGTCTCTCTTTAACACCTGACACACCGGCCATACTTTACAAGAAGAAATAGTGTATGTTGCTCTCAACCTTTATTGGATTAAACGAGCAACATATGACAAATGACAAGACATAACATGATAAAACAGTAGCCGAATTAAAATTAACATGTTACAAAAAATGAAATGGTTGGTCTCTAAGTAGAAACCCCCCCTTATAAGGTTTACAGGTCTTGCAAGGAAACCCTTCCAGCACCTTCGGCGTTATGTTGTCCAGACTGTTCAGGTTAGTAACCTGATCTACACTACACTAGTGTATATAGGTAATGCTGCTACAGAAGGGATTGGCCATTTGTTTATCGGAGATATGTATTCTAGATACAATAACGCTAGGTTATGTAACTGTAAAATCAATCGAAACAGAAGTACACTAGGCACTATTTAAGGACGTACATATCATTACATGTTTGTAGCTAGGGTAGGAAATACAAACAAATGATTTATGTATCTCATTTTTTTCGCTTCAGTAAATGTAAAATTGTTTGGGTTGACGTGAAAACAATGATTGTGTATTTGCATTTTCACTGTTGGAGAAGAATCAATGTTTCAGGTACGGAGACTTATAGTATGTATTCAGTGCATTTTATGTGATCGGTTTTATTAACTGTTCATTTGATTTATGTTTTTTTTTTGTATCTGTATGTTTTAGGTCAAAGATGAATGAATGTGAAAAAACATTATGCTTTATTTTCTGATTATAGTTTGTGGCTCCTATTCATGAACAGAAATATAAAATATGCCTTAAATTGCAACTTTAGAAACGCATTTGAACTTTCCCACTCATCAGCAAAACACTCTAATGAACAGTCAACAAAACCTTGATCATTTCGTAACACTTACATGTATGACTCTATGTGAGTGTTTGACAATACACACGTTTACATCGGCGTCCATACCCGTCCAATGTCCCGGCATCTGTGCTATGTAATATGTACCTGGGGTGGCGATAATATATGACATTTACGTGCGTGCACATACAAGTCGGAAGTATATATGGACACTGAACGTTTTCAAACCTTAGAAATAAACATTTCCTTTTCATTGCCTGATACAGATAGTATTAAGAAATTGAACAAATCCAGATGTTTCGCGCACGTTTGACATACAGAGACACGATTGATAAGAAACATAAGCGACATCAATGTATGTCGTCAAAACTGTATGCACGTCTGTAATAGTGTATTTAGTCAGTGCAGATGTCTTCATTTACGTCAAACATACTTCTTGCTTATATCACAGTTAAAAGCGATTTCTTGTAATATTTTCAGTTTAGAGACTCAAGTTAAGTCTACATACTGGTGTTTAAGCTTCCATACCTTGATAACCAGTAGCATGAAGTTGACCCGCATGATGCAACCATCACCTAGTGTAACTTGAAACGTTCGCTCATATTTTGCCAGGACCTTACACTCTGAACACGAAGGAGTTTAGTACTTTCAGTTGGATACATGTAAAGCCACATGTAGAGGGAATTTATTGAGATTGCTTTTGAATTTGAGTTTCTTTTTGAATAGCACCTTTACATGACATTCAAAATAACCATCGCCCAGTCGGCGTTACTTAGATTTCTACATACGGGTGTTTCTAACCATGAAGAAGTAATGAAAATACTATGTTAGACATAATCCAGGATTATTTCAAACCGTTTTGAAACCCAATATGTTAGTCGCCTCTTACAACAAGCATAGGGTGCTTAAGGAATCTACCCCGGATCTCCACAGAAGGGCATATCTCTAAATGGCAAATATGTGTTTTGTGTCCACTTGTGGTTGTGTCACATATGAAATGACTTAATTGATCTTGTGATCTGTGAGTTGGTTGACTGTGTGTTATCGCATCTCTGCGGGTGGTGTGTTGCTCATAATATCTATCACTGGTTTGTTCGGACCAGATTCGATCTTTTACAACCCTTTCGTAAAATTCATTTGCGAGCAGAAGAAAATATTGAAGAATATTTGCCGGTGGCTAAACTTCAAATACAAAGTGTATTCTGTGGAGATGAGCAAGCAAGCAAACAAATCCAATCTGGTCAAGAAGGCTCGCAAAGAAAGCAACAAGAAAGTAACACCAACATGTTTTATTTCAAGAGAAAAATCAAGGAATATAAAGAATATCCCCAAGGCTTTTGTTGTTAGAGAGACTTTTTTTATGTTTGCACAGCCAGAGCGATCTGGCGTTAGATGCGATGGAAATGCCTTCCTAGATAATGGACGTAGAAAACGTTTTGGTCCACCAACAATCCTATATCAATCCTCGGTATAAGAAGTTAACATAATTGAAAAGCGCGTTGTAACAGTAAAAGAAATATCCCTGATTGTATAGGCATGGTACTTCCAAACGATCCCTTAGTATCCAACTGAATATGAATAAATGTTGTAGATATGCAAAATAGGATAAACATTATTTACATACAACCCATACCTGCTGTACATTAAAACTCATATCAGCACTCCAATTTTTATGATTTTTACAAGTACGGCTGATTCCAGTGATTCTCACATCCCATGATCCTGTTTGCAAAACGATCTTAGCCCCAAGACGGTCGTAACTTTACCGTAACATCTTAACAGTGGCTTACTGCAGTCGTTCGCTAAGACCGTTTTGCGGAAGCCAGAACTTCCAGTTAACTAGGTTTCAGTGCACTAGGATAAGGAATAATGTCTCAGTCCATCTGCCTGAGTAACCTCCTGAGGATCTTCCCACTAGGGCTCTTGGGTATCTTCGAGAGGAACGTCACTCCCCCACGCAATCGTTTCGTCACAGAGACATTACCTGCAACGCGGAATACAACTCTGACTACTACGATCTAAATAAAAGCATGAAAGAAAATGATATAGAACTGAAGAATAATCATTTAGGTCATTTGTAGCAGGAATCAAAGACCAACCTTATATATATTTTAGGAAAGGAAAGTAAACTCCTCCGTTAAAATCCGGGAATGTTTGTTGGTTGTGTAACGCCGCACACAGCCCAGCTAAAGGACGGCAGCATCGAGTTAAGACCAGACAACCCAGTGGGTCACGTCACCCCATATTTAATAATAACTTACGTTAAATATAGTTCATTCAACATTTAAAGATTCACTCGGGGCATATCAAATCATAAACCTCCTGCCTGCTTCCGGTTCAACGGAGTGAAGGAACAAGAATAGGCAGAAATTTTAGAAGAAATATCATATTGCCTAATTTTTAATTACCATTAAACTGGTGATGATTATTTATCTTACCTACCGTAGTTATTGTTATAATTTTCGTAACATTTATTCTAAAATAAACCCATTTCTGACGACATTACAATAGAACTTTGGACTTGTAACATAGTCTTTGAGCTTCTTGTCCAGTCAACACAACAATAGAACTTACTTGTAACATAGTCTAGTGCCCAGCTGACATTGTCCAGTCAACACAACAATAGAACTTACTTGTAACATAGTGTTCAAAAGCTCTTGTCCAGTCAACACAAGCAATAGAACTTACTTGTATCATAGTCTAGAAGCTCTTGTCCAGTCAACACAACAATAGAACTTACTTGTACTAGTCTACTTGTAAGCTCTTGTCAGAACGTACTTGTATCATACTAGGAGCTCTTGTCCAGTCAACAACAATAGTCTAGTCCAGTCAACACAACAAGAACTAGCTCTTGTCCAGTCAACACAACAATAGAACTTACTTGTAACATAGTCTGGTCCAGCAACACAACAATAGAACTTGTCATAGTCAACTCTTGTCCAGTCAACACAACAATAGAACAATAGAACTTACTTGTAACATAGTCTGGAAGCTCTTGTCCAGTCAACACAACAATAGAACTTACTTGTAACATCATAGTCTGGAAGCTCTTGTCCAGTCAACACAACAATAGAACTTACTTGTAACATAGTCTAGAAGCTCTTGTCCAGTCAACACAACAATAGAACTTACTTGTATCATAGTCTGGAAGCTCTTGTCCAGTCAACACAACAATAGAACTTACATAGTAACATAGTCATAGTCAGTTCAAACAATAGCTTACTTGTCCAGTCAAGCTCTTGTCAGTCACAATAATAGAACTTACTTGTAACATAGTCAGTCAAGCTCTTGTCCAGTCAACACAACAATAGAACTTACTTGTATCATAGTCTGGAAGCTCTTGTCCAGTCAACACAACAATAGAAGTCTAGAACTTACTTGTAACATAGTCATGTCCAGTCAACACAACAATAGAACTTACTTGTAACATAGTCTGGAAGCTCTTGTCCAGTCAACACAACAATAGAACTTACTTGTATCATAGTCTAAAAGCTCTTGTCCAGTCAACACAACAATAGAACTTACTTGTATCATAGTAGTCCAGTCAACACAACAATAGAACTTACTTGTAACATAGTGTTCAAGCTCTTGTCCAGTCAACACAACAATAGAACTTACTTGTATCAACATAGTCTTACTTGTAAAGCTCTTGTCCAGTCAACACAACAATAGAACTTACTTGTATCATAGTCTAGAAGCTCTTGTCCAGTCAACACAACAATAGAACTTACTTGTATCATAGTCTGGAAGCTCTTGTCCAGTCAACACAACAATAGAACTTACTTGTATCATAGTCTTCAAGCTCTTGTCCAGTCAACACAACAATAGAACTTACTTGTATCATAGTCTGGAAGCTCTTGTCCAGTCAACACAACAATAGAACTTACTGGTAACATAGTGTTCAAGCTCTTGTCCAGTCAACGCAACAATAGAACTTACTTGTAACATAGTGTTCAAGCTCTTGTCCAGTCAACACAACAATAGAACTTACTTGTATCATAGTCTGGAAGCTCTTGTCCAGTCAACACAACAATAGAACTTACTTGTAACATAGTGTTCAAGCTCTTGTCCAGTCAACACAACAATAGAACTTACTTGTATCATAGTCTGGAAGCTCTTGTCCAGTCAACACAACAATAGAAGCTAGTGTTGTCCAGTCAACACAACAATAGAACTTACTTGTAACATAGTTACTTGTAGTGTTCAAGCTCTTGTCCAGTCAACACAACAATAGAACTTACTTGTTCAAGCTATCTTAGTCCTCTTGTCCAGTCAACACAACAATAGAACTTACTTGTATCATAGTCTAGGAAGCTCTTGTCCAGTCAACACAACAATAGAACTTACTTGTATCATAGTCTGGAAGCTCTTGTCCAGTCAACACAACAATAGAACTTACTTGTATCATAGTCTGGAAGCTCTTGTCCAGTCAACACAACAATAGAACTTACTTGTATCATAACATAAAGCTAGACACAACAATTTTTGTACTCCAGTCAACACAACAATAGAACTTACTTGTAACATAGTTACTTGTATCATAGTCTGGAAGCTCTTGTCCAGTCAACACAAATAATAGAACTTACTTGTAACATAGTGTTCAAGCTCTTGTCCAGTCAACACAACAATAGAACTTACTTGTAACATAGTGTGGAAGCTCTTGTCCAGTCAACACAACAATAGAACTTACTTGTAACATAGTGTTCAAGCTCTTGTCCAGTCAACACAACAATAGAACTTACTTGTAACATAGTGTTAAAGCTCTTGTCCAGTCAACACAACAATAGAACTTACTTGTATCATAGTCTGGAAGCTCTTGTCCAGCCAACACAACAATAGAACTTACTTTTAACATAGTCTTGAAGCTCTTGTCCAGTCACTTCCGATCCTGGCTTCGTGACAATAAACGCTTTCGGCAACTCTCCCGCTTCTCCATCCGGGACGCCGACTACACCAACGTCCGCCACAGCGGGATGACTCAGCAGAACGTTTTCCAGCTCCGCAGGCGCCACCTTACGGCCGAAAATAAACAACATGTGAAACAAACTTCGTCATGGTTATTCGGCGACACTCTGCATTTTCCGGTACACAGAACAGACACAGGCTAACCAAAAACCATAGCCACGAGTCTGTATGTATAGTGACAGTATATTTAGTTGAACCATATCCGTAATGAGAAAATGGCTCACACATGGCACCGAGTGGGCGCATCCTGCTCCATCGGTGGCACCATCACAAACACACGTAAGGTCAAAGTTCACCTAATCAAACACGGGATGATAGCTAAAAAGTCACTTGCATCGGACATACTTGTGGTCAATAATGCCTCATATTTGGAAATATCCTTATTGCGTCCATATTTAAACACAATGTCACGTGCAAGTGACGTGATCCCGCGACAGAAGTGAGTTCACAGTACCTCGGGTAGCAGTATAAGTAGTGTAGCAATACTGCATGAATTCAATGTTGTCGGGCGTGTAACGCCAGATCTCTTCGTGCTTGTAAGAAGAGACTTACAGTATTGGATAATCAGACCAGCTGGCATAGTTGATAAATGTCATCGTATCCAAGTTGCGTAGATCAATGCTCATGAAGACAGTTACTGACTTGACAAGCCTCGATTATTTACAGACCCCTGTCATACAGCTGGGATATTGCCGAGTGAGGCGTTAAGCAACAGACAAAGTCAATATGATGTATATATTAAATAGTATACATATAACAGTATGTATTAAATACCTGGAACCCCTTGTACTTGATGAGTTCTTTCAGACGATCCACAATGTACAGAATTCCCTCATCGTCCATGTGGCCAATGTCACCTATATAAACATAATACATATTAATATTCGCTGCTGTAATTCGATTCCCAAATGAGTACAACCACATTTCTGGTGTCCCCAGCCGTGATATTGCTGGAACATTGCTAAAATCGAGGTAAGACTAAACTTTCTCACTCACTATAAAAGAAATAGGCTTCAGACAACTTGTTTCTTCGGCGCCACTTAAACCACTAGGCCAAGCTAGAACCGGGTCAATAATTGATACGTTTGTGTAGCATTGATACGTTTCGGACGAGTGATGGGGGAACGTCGTGAAAGCCTGAATACAAAGTGCCATGTATAAAGTGGTCAAATGTAACATATGTTAAATTTGGTGTGTTATATTTGGGATTACATACCCATGAAGGTCCGGGTTAGAATATTGATCTTCAGTACCCCATGCTTGTCGTAAGAGGCGACTGACGGGATCGGGTGGTCAGGCTCGCTGACTTGGTTGACACATGTCATCGGTTCCCAATTGCGTAGATCGATGCTCATGCTGTTGATCACTGGATTGTCTGGTCCAGACTCGATTATTTACAAACCGCCGCCATATATTTGGAATATTTCTGAGAGCGGCGTATAACTGAACTCACTCACTCACTCACTCACTAGGATTACACTGTCGTAATAAAGTACAGATTCTAGCACTTTCAATGGGTTGAGTCACATCCGGGACTTGAACCCACACTCTTAGAGTCAGGCATCTAATCTTCAGCACACAAAGTGGAAGCTGCGGTTGGTCAGCACGTTAGGCGACATACTATGTTGGCGATTAGGTGCCTGACTCTGAGGGTGTGGGTTCGAATATCGGATGGGACAAGGGTACAAAAGTGCAGGAAAATGTATTCCCAAATATAACATATGTTACGTCTTGAAAGCAAACCCGTGACCCACTGACGATGTAGACTCACCTGTTTTGACCCAGCCGTCCTCATCAAACATGGCGGCTGTAGCTCCAGGGTTAAACTTGTAACCCTTCATCGCAGATGGGCTTCTCAGACAAACCTCGCCGTCGACATTGGCGGGGACGGGCTTTCCTGTTGCCACGTCCACTATCTGGAGAAGGAAAGTCTGACGTCATGTAATAATACTCTCTACAGATGGTGATGGTGGATGGATGGATTTGGGTGTGTTTGAACTCAAGTCATAGGAGGAATAATAGTAAGAAAGAAGACCAGTACAGAGGACTGACTGACTGACTGACTGAGTTTGGTTTTACACCGCTTTTAGCAATATTCCAGCAACATCACAGCGGGGGACACCAGAAATGGGCTTCACACACTGTACCCATGTGGGGATTCGAACCCGGGTCTTTGGCGTGACGAGCCAACGCTTTAACCACTAGGCTACCCCACCGCCCCCAGTACAGAGGAGAATGCAGGGTTTAAAACACCAAAATCGTAACACCGTGGCTGATAGTGCACTAAAACATGTATGGTGTGAGGGAAACAGTAGAGTTGGGTTGGTGGGAGATTGGCTAATTATCATACATACGTATGTTTACTATTGTTTATTTACGACTAGTTATCGCGTTGGATGGGAGAAGGACAATTAGAATAAGAGACGCACATTTTATGTATTAACCATCACTACAGTATACCAATCCTGTCCGCCACACTCCTTGTCTTAAACTGAGATGACCATTGTCCGAGGCCACATTTCATCCCCTGATTATGAAGATCTGATTTAACAGGGTCACTCCAAAAGTGGTGCATTAGGAACAACAGCATACCTTACACTCGGCACAGGGCAGGACATACCCAGCTGACCCAAACTTGTGTTTTCCTCCGTGTGAGAGATGCGTCACCTGCACCTCCGTCATCCCGTACACTGAAACATCAAACACGACCATTTGGGCAACACCATCATACTGGAAACCAGGATTAAGCTTTATTTCACATTCCTACTTATCAACAACTCCAAGAAGAATAACAGTGTGCGAAATTTGCGCTGGTCCTGTGGTCCCTTACTAGTAAGAATTCATCAGGACCACTAAATGATAAGTTTGCAGTGGTCCAGTGATTTGTTTATCCCATCTAAATAATTAAAATTGTCTTTAAACTAAAAAGTGAGATCGTATATTTAAGCGAGGATTCAAATAAACTAATTTATACTCTCAAGTCAAAGCGCATGGGAAAACAGGAACCAGTTTTACATTCGCAATCACTTCAGTGGACCCGTGAAGTACAGTCAGGACCACTAATTCTTGTCCACTCACTGGTCCTGTGGTCTACTGGGACATTTTGAAAGGTTTCTAACACTGGAATAGGAAGGGAGAGGTTCAGGAAAGGTATTTGTGGCAAGAAGCAAAGCGTACCTTGTGTTATGTAGGTCAAATGAAACATCACCAGTATCTTGGCCTCGATATCTGTGCTCAAAGGGGCAGCTCCGCAGAAGATTTTTTGCACAAAGCTCAGGTCATACTGTGAGATGCTTGGGAGATTGGTCATGACTACCAGGACTGGCGGAACCACGTGCAGCACCGTTGCCTGGATACAGCAGACATTAAAAATGTATTAATCAGCACTACAGTGTACCAGTCCTTTTCATGCTTGAAAATGGTATAGGTGTCTATACCGAAACGTCGCTTGTGCAACATAGAAGTTGGTCATCCATAAAGACTTGTAATTCCGACTGAAAATGGTATAACATTCCATTTTGTACTCTGCTTATATATAATGGCTATGACATGTGATGCTTGTGTAGGGCTATGACATGTGATGCCTGTGTAGGCTTATATATATTGGCTATGACATGTGATGCTTGTGTAGGGCTATGACATGTGATGCCTGTGTAGGCTTATATATATTGGCTATGACATGTGATGCTTGTGTAGGGCTATGACATGTGATGCCTATCTGTGTAGGGCCTTCATATAAACTGTAAATATTAATACCATCCGGTCGGGTTTTTCCATTTCTGTTTCCTCTTTTTCAGTTTGTGTATTCTACGAACGAGTCACACACTGCGTTCCTAGCCCTCTTTGAAATATATTCAGTAGTTTCATTAAAGCTTTATAACGACATCAGAAATACTTTAGTTGCTTTCATTTCATGTTCTTCATCAGAAGTTCCTACCCTCCAGCACTCTCCGCCCCCCTCATACCTTACCTTATACTTCTGTATGTTGTTGAGGTACTCATGGATGTCAAACTTGGACATGATGACGCTCCTAGCGCCGCTGTACAGGCCGGCTGAGATGACAGGACCCAGCCCGTAGATGTGGAAGAATGGTAGGAATACCAAGTAGGTGTCATTTTTTGTCAGCTCACCTGAAGACCTGGGAACAAACAAAGAATGCCTTGCGTCTAGCCAGCAGTGTTATCTCACGGCGCGTCAGCTTCAAGTTGGAGGAGAAGAAGACATTTATTGGTGAAATATTTGCCGGAGTTTGGTCTTGATAAACGAAGGATCATAATTAGGGTGAATTTGCGATTCAATTACAATATCAACGGATCCTGATACATCTAAGGGCCCTAATAACAAGAAATACTAAGCGTCTTCAAATACTAAGCAAACTGTGTGCCTGAAGTCAACAAGTCAGCAAGTTTTTCGGGGACAAACGCAGTATTTATGTCACCGCTTTCGTTTTAAAATGCAGAAAAAGTACACAAACAGGAATCTTATCATATCCTTTAACGCGTTATGTACTTACAGAACCTGTAATACATTCGAAACCATGGCATAGTGTGTCAACTGAACCCCTTTCGGCTTTCCCGTCGTTCCGCTCGAAAACAAAATGGCAACGACGTCATTTTCCGGGTCAATGTCAGGGTCATTGATTGGCTCGTCAGAGATATCAGGGGAGATAAGCGAGGAGAAACTTGTGCATCCTTCAGCCTTTCCAAATACAATAATCTTCTGAAAAGTTAAGAATGAAGTATTTATCAGTGTTTCGTTAGAAACGTCAGTTTATGAAAACAGAATTAAAATACAATAAAGCTGTTGCTGTTTTTAATTTTTGTTTTCCACTCGCTTTACTGAAACAAACTTAACGTCTATCCATAGAAACGTGGATGAACATGGATGAAAATGGAGTCGACATGCTTAATTGTATTGACAACAGATTCTCTCCGAGAAGGAACTCATTTTTAGACTGGCCAACTCAAATTTATATATATTATAAACTCTGTCAAAAAAGAAACGCAACCCCTGTCCTCAGATATGAAAAATTCGTTTGAATGAAGTTATTGCTTCCAAACTAAATTTTATTCGAATGTATTGAAATTATACACGTAATTAATGAAGATTACCATCCAAACAACTGCATTTGTACGCATAAGTGTATTTTATTGCTTATTCCGTCACAACGCATGAAATGACCCTCATGGTGACTTCGCACAAAAAAAACACATGCAAATCATGAAAATGGCAGTTAATGTAGGGGTGTATAAAAGCCCATGTGCTTTCGTATTATATTCATTCATTTGTCGCCGAAAAGCTGTGTTAAAAATGCCACGATTGAGTGCTGCCGACCGAAATATCGCCATTGGTCGTGTTCAAGCCGGAGAAAGTTTTGGAACTGTTGCACGGCACCTAAATGTTCACAAAACAACGATATCCCGACTTTGGAGCCGCTACAACAACTTCAATTTGACCAACGATCGCCCGAGAAGTGGAAGGCCAAGAATCACGACCCCCCTTCAAGATCGGTACATCCGGGTCCATCACCTACGTAATCGGCATGCCCTACCAACCGTGACTGCCACACAAATACCAGGTTTGAGGAGAGTGTCAGCTCAAACGATTAGGAACCGTCTGAAAGAAGCGGGTTTACGTGCCTGTAGACCAGTTGTTGGACCTGTACTACGCCCCTACATCTCCGCCGACGACTCAGGTGGTGCAACAACGTAAGGATATGGACTTTACAAAACTGGAGGCGCATCTGGTTTTCTGATGAATCCCGTTTCTTTTGCAACATCACGACGGAAGAAAACGTGTGTATAGGAGACGTCATGAACGTTTTGCGCCCATCTGCGTCCGACAGGGGACAGATTTGGCGGAGAAAGCGTTATGGTTTGGGGATCCATCTCATACAACCAGAAATCAGACTTGGTGATCGTTGAAGGGAACCTGACAGCCCAACGTTACATCAACCACGTATTACAGCCTCACCTTCTCCCGATTATTGACCAACAGACACAGATTTTTCAACCAGACAACGCCCGGCCTCATACTGCACGTGCAACAATGAACTTTCTGCAGAATTCCAACGTCAATGTCTTGCCATAGCCCTCTAAATCACCAGACCTCAACCCTATTGAACACCTGTGGGATACTCTGGGTCGACGCGTACGTCAACGTCAGCCGCCGCCACAGACGCTGCAACAGCTCGGCGTTGCACTGCAGGAGGAGTGGAGAGCCATTCCCCAGGAAAGAATCCGGCGTCTTATCCGTTCTTGTCCAAGGAGTAGCCGTGCAGTGATTGCAGCTCGTGGTGCTCATACGAGATACTGAGAAAGACTGTGAGATGACTTTTGAAATGACAATTTTAAACATGCCCATCTTGGTTATTATTATGCCAAATTTCAGACTTCTGTCTTAAATAATAAAAATGCTGTGTCGTCTTAAAACTTCAGATCAAAATCTCTAAAATACAGGGGTTGCGTTTCTTTTTTGACAGAGTTTATAACTGGGCAAAATCTACAAATGGGATTCATTTTTCTTTCGTTTTATTTGATATACCTGCAAAACTGTTTTAACATGCATGTATTTCAAATTCAGGTGAATTGATAAAGAAGTAGGTTTTGTGTTCATTAATAATATACTAGCCACATAAAGAAACTGTGCATTGTCAAAATATTATCCCAGTGGATAAGTACGATAACAATGTCAAAGGAACATATAAACTTTAATGGAGGGATCATGAGACCGTAACAAGTCGGGAGAATTTCAATTGAAAAGTCAATCACAATGACGTAACGAGTCCACAAGCGGGACAGGGGTCAAACAACCATGTCACAAGCTCAATAACGGGTATGGCCACCATCGGCATTGAGAACAGCAGTGCATCGCCAAAGCATAGAGCTAAACCAAACGTGCAAGGAAGGCTTGTGGGATGTCACACCAGATTCTCTCAAGTTCTGTTGCAAGGTCAAGGACGTTATCTGGCGGATGAGGAAGACGGCATAGACGTCGATCCATCTCGTCCCAAACATGCTCTATCGGGGAGAGATCCGGTGAATTTGCAGGCCAAGGCAGTAAGTCAACGTTGTGGTGTTGCAAGAAATCCATAGCAACCCTTGCCGTATGAGGGCGGGCGTTGTCCTGTTGGAATGTTAACCCAGGGCCATGACGTTGCAGAAAAGGAATTGCCACAGGTCGAAGAATCTGATCCCTGTAGCCCACACCAGTTAAGTTGCCCTGAACAATCAAAAAAGGAGTTCTTTGGCGTGCTGTTATTCCACCCCAAATCATCACGGAACCACCACCAAAGCGATTCCTCTCCAAGACACAGGCCTGTGCATAACGTTCTCCCACGCGTCTATAGGCACGTTGACGTCCATCACTATGGGAAATGTTAAACCAAAACAAGGGTCTGCGGACATGATTTCGGCACCACATTCGGCGAGCTTGTCGATGACGTTGTGTCAGGATAGGCCGCATGGCAGGACGTCGTGGTCTGATCCCGTGATGACCTAAACGTTGTCGAACTGTGTTGGGGTGGATACGGCGAAGTCCTGGGATGGTTCGGGCAGTCATCACTGCAGTCTGAAACCTGTGGCGAAGATGGGTCACCCTTATCCATCTGTCCTGTCTTGGCGTTGTTACACGTGGACGTCCAGAACGTGGCCGATCGATGACGCCATGTGTGTTCTGGTAGCGTCTCACTAGTGCAGAAATGGTGTTCCTGTGGCAGTGGAAATGTGCTGCCACTTGTCGTTGAGACATTCCCCCCACGGACCATCCCAATGGCCTCATGACGTTTTGCAGACGTGAGCCTTGGCATGCTATGCGGTTCAATAGCCGTGATAGTGATAGTATTGTGTGGCATTCATTTGCTCTGTTTCTCTTTCCCGGAATGCACGTGCAACAACGTATTGCACGTCTCAAGGACGAACCCACTGACGTCACGGAACGTGGCACGTGCATGCATGTTGGATACATGTCACTAATCTCTGAGTTTGAAATCTTATGTGTCTACACAGGTTTGATAAATTTAGATTTTAAATTTTTGTATGCACAGTTTCTTTATGTGCCTAGTATAGTCCACTGAAGACATATACAAGGACTAAGCTGGGTCATGCTGGATCAAAGTCTTTCAAAAAACCACTTGGTCTGCTTCGTAACGTCCAATATCGGATTCTTGTCACTGTATGACGTCATCAATTGACGTTGTAGATCGTGGTCTAAGCACGTAAATGCGCATGTTTTTATCCATTTGCTACATCAAAACTAATACTAGTATACAGAAATGAGAAATGTTTCCTATTACTGAACGCATTATTCTCGCAACAGAATCTTTAACGATCATCATACGAAACTGCAACGACGTTAAGTGATGCTTATTTGTTTTCTTAAACTGACCTCATGTTTACCTACCAAATCAAGCACACGTGGTAATGTCATTTTCATAGTGTGAACGTGCTCTGTATTTATTGTCTGAATTCTCCCAGGAGGGTGACAACTGGAAAAAATATTACCCGCTGCCACGGTAACCGCCAAGCTCTCCGCCGAGAAGCTGAAGCGCTAACAGTCATATAACGTCATAATATGACGCATGCAGTGCCCGGAGTTCGAAAACCGTTCGATGAGCTGTTTTTGTGTTCACTTTGTACAGATTTATTTTATTATCTTATATAGAAACGAGTTCCGTCCGTCCGTCCGTGCGTCCGTCACACTTTGTCCGAAGCATATCTCCTAAACTATTGGGGATAGCTTAACCAAACTTGGTAGATAAGTCATCCATGATCCCTAGAAGTGCCTTTTGGGTGTTAGACCCAGATGCGAATTTTATTTTTTGCGGTTTCCGTGGAAACATGACTTAGGCTGTGACTATGGGGATGTCATCTTGTCCGGAGCAGATCTTCCAAACCATACATGCTAGCTTCATCAAACTTGGTACATATGTCAAGCACGATCCCTACATGTGCGTTTTGGGGTTTAGACCCCGATATGAATTTTATTTTTTGCAGTTTCCATGGAAACGTGACTAAGGCTGTGGCTATGAGGATGTCATCATGTCCGGAGCAGATCTCCTAAACTAAACATGCTAGCTTCATCAAACTTGGTACACATATCAAGCATGATCCCTAGATGTGTCTTTTGGGGGTTTAGATTCAGATATGAATTTTATTTTTCGTGGTTTCCATGGAAACATGACTTATGCTGTGACTATGAGGATGTCATGTTGTGGTAGTGCTCCTTTTCTGAAGCAGATTTTGGAGTATCTTGCCGTTGCGGGGGATATTGATGACTTTGTCTTCTTGTTTATTTTAAGCTATTTTATACATTGAGTGGTTTGCACACTCAGCTTAAACATAATTGACATTTTTTATAGCAGTTTTATGCTTGTCAGAATATGTTTCACTGATGTTAAAAATCCAGTCGAGAAGCAGACGCCATTTTGTTTGCATGTCATATCGTCGGTAGCGATCTTTAACATAAAATAAAATGATATTTTGTACATTTAACAAGGCGGTAAGATAAATACGTTGTATGCTTCTCCCTCAGGTAATACGGTCTGATGTACGTCTCTTTGTAGCAGTGTCATACCTCGCCTACCGGCTCGGGAAACAATTTATAAGTATTGAAAATCAAAATGAAATTGTAGTTATGGTAATGTACATATGGTTTCGTTTTGAAACAAAGCCCTCACACACACACACACACACACACACACACACACACACACACACCTGTTGCCAGTTGAAGTTGTGAAGCCCCAAAATTGGCCATACCGATCGCCCAGTCTCGTTGCGCTTGCGTAAGTTTTGGCATTTTCGTGGTTGTTTACTGCATGATTACTGCATGCTTGCTTTGTCCAACCTCGGTATTTATGCCACAATCATGCTCGTGCATCTGGACCAATATCCTACAATTATGTTTTTCACGTTTTGAAAAATGCACGATTCGTACGAGGTTTTCGGACAGCTGCGTTGGTATCGGGACCATGTTGCGTTTGGGCGAATGTTTCTGCTTTGTTTCAAAACTGTACTCGCGGTTTTTTATACAATAACATATACTTTAAAAGTGTTTACTTTCTATTGCCCGGTAGTTTTATCACTATAGTAAAGCATAAACCTGGTTGAGAACTACAGCTTAGCTAATAATTAGAATGCACTCGGACCGTTTATTTAGTTTGAAACTAAGGCTAGTTTAGTTTTGACAAAAATAACTAATAACCACTACTGCAAAGAGACTACCGGTATATCTAAATTTCACATTTGATGTTGATGCAGCGTCTAGAAACTACAAAACCGTACCAGGTGAGTGACCACATCCTCCTTCAAAGGCAGTTATTGGAAAATAAACCTAACCTAGATGTGTAACAGTGGAGCTGACTTACCGCACACGTCATCAACGTCACCAACTCCACTTGTATCTAGGACTTATTTCAGAAGAACCATAGCGACACTTCAGATACCACATAGATGTAAGCCTCTGTGATGACACCTACCTTCAGGACATTACCAGCAGCTGCCCTCACTGTTGGAAGCGAGGCTGGGAAGGTCACCACGAATTTACTCTTGCAGATCTCAATTGTGTCCTTGAGTTCGGCTGAAAATTAAACCAGATTTTTAACTCGTCAGTATAGCCAAGCGCTTGAAAATAGTTATTTTCGTACATAAAGATTTGTTTCCGCTTCTCAACGGCAATTATAAGAAATATGGAATTAAATTGCGATCTGCAACCCGGCTTCCACATTTAGCACCGGTACCATTCCAGTAGACATGTCATTTACCAAAATGTCATACGCCTGTATCTATTTGATCTTGAGCCGCCATTTAGCTGGAATATTGCTGAGTGCGGCGTAAAACTAAACTCACTTACTCTTTGATCTTGACTTAGCATATTTAAGCAGATGTGCCATTTTATAACTGAAATTCTTTCAAAATTGACGTAAGTCAGAGCTCACCCAGTCACCCTTTAAACAAATCACTCACTTGCATTGTAAGTTGGGTTAGTGGCATGTAAAACCCCGCCAAGGGAGGCAACTGCGTAGAAGACGATGGGATACTCCATGACGTTATGGCTAAAGATACAGAGAACGTCGCCCTTCTTGAATCCGAGATTGCGCAGCCCGCGGGCCAGACGACGTACTGTTGAGGCGACCTGTTCGTAGGACATAGTGCGACCGGTTGTGGCGTCCACCTACAAACATATACATCCTGCATCAGGCGGAGATTCCTGGTAACAGCAGGTACTTGGAAATAAATGGTCTTCGTATAAAAGGCGACTAGGCTGGTGATTTCGCCTACATGGTTGATGACGTGCTATCGTATCCGACGTCCTGGGACTTAACTCATAATTCACTGGATTGTCAAGCTCAATTATTTACACACCAGCGTCAGTATATGCCGCTAGAATATTTTTAAAGGCTGAGTCAAACAAACAACAAGCACCGTTCTATTGAGTTAGCATGGGTAGGAATTGCGCCGACTAATAGAAGCCTTGGTGACGTTTGGTCACGATATAAGTATCATGTCGTGAAGTCATGTATCGAAATATTGCATCGTATTCTGAAACAATACATTTAATACTGATTTCAGATGGCATGTGTAAGCCACAGTTAATACAGTTTGGGTGGGTAATATCCGTTTGTGATCAAAAACGCCTCATTATGTATGGTGACCGAAATGAGACTCCGATTTCAATATTGATCTGGAGAAGGCGATAAAGTGATAGCACAAGGAGAGAAAGAGATAGCACGAAGAGAGAAGGTGATATCACGAGAGTGAAGGCAATAGCACGAGGACAGAAACCGATATAGTATACAGATTGCTCGTCTTGTGTTACCACATTATCGGCTTTATTCAAGTCAATAGAACACTGCCCCCTACCGGCCACCATAATTAACTCCTATGAACGCCGAGCCTTTATCATGTCATGACAGTATTATCGTTATACAGCAATAAATAAGATTATTAAGGTATGTTTGACTTGATGGAAAACTTATACCAGTGTTATTGAACATGACACAGTTATTAAATGCTTGTTCAATTTTCATTTCGTCCAGTAAGTAATACCAGAGTTGTACTTTTAGAATTCATTTATGTTTTATTAATTTCTTACAAACACATAATTAGCTGGAAGTGGTATACTCAGATGTTACAACACAGCGTCTTTGTCCAGGTTGTCCTCTGACTGACTGACTGAGCTTGGTTTTACGCCGCTTAAAGCAATATTCCAGCAACATCACGGCGGAGGTTGTCCTCTGTGATTTACTAAGAAAGTGTAATCCCAAACATAGCATGTGTTACATCTGTGATAAGTACTACAGTTAAACGTCCCCTGAACACCTAGGTTAGAATGTGCCTTCAGTAAGCCATGCTTGTCGTAAGAGACGACTAACGGAGTCGGGAGGTCAGGCTCGCTGACTTGGTTGATGCATGCATAGGCGCCCGACTCTGATATATTTATAAGCATGACCTATATATATAAGATATAAGAAAGGTGTGTCAGTAAATCGAAACAAAATGGCGGCCCGGCTCGGCTCGGCTCGGTTTCGTTCTGACAAACGCTTCCATCGCTTTGACCGTCCATTCTCGGACGAAGTCAGGATATATGCCCGGAAGTAAACAAACCTCAGGCTACAGACCCGCACCGAATAGTAGAGCGAGTCTCTAATTGGATAATATAGTTGCACGTTAAAAGAGGTGGGAATAATAGAAGACGCTATCCAATCAGAGACTCGCTCTAACGCCGCCAGATGATCTAAACACCGACCTTCCGTTCTCCTGGCAGACGCAACATCCACTGCGCCACATGGGCCGTTTAATATAATCTATCATAATTAGAAATTAGAGTTGAATACCCACCAAGGCTACTTTAGTCCCATGTTGATCGCACATCTCCGTCATGAACGTGCCCAGCGGCACACGGGGTAGGTCCATCGTCTTTCCTTTCAGTGACATCATCTTGAAATCCCTCACGTGTACTTCAGTGAAATGATATGTCTTGGAGCTCTTGGGAACTGTTCGTTATTGTTTCTTATTGTCAGACTTGTGGCATAATCCAGTTAAGAAACCTGAGGGTGAAATACACAACGCTGACTGACATTGTATAAAGGTTACTGTAATGACGTAGGGTACATTCAACAAAACACCCGTTCTGTCACACAAACGAAATATTTAAGAACCCGACAGAAACATTCAACACAACACTCGTTCTGTAACACGACAGAAACATTCAACCCAACACCCGTTCTGTACCACGACAGAAACATTAAACACAACACCCTTTTTGTAACACAAACGAAATATTTAACAAATCATCGTTCTGTATCACGACAGAAACATTAAAAAAAAAATCGTTCTGTAACACGACAGAAACATTCAACAAATCACCCGTCCTGTATCACGACAGAAACATTCCACAAATCACCCGTTCTGTATCACGACAGAAACATTCAACAATATATCGTTCTGTACCACGACAGAAAGATTCAACACAACACTCGTTCTGTATCACAAACGAAATATTTAACAAGACATCGTTCTGCACCACGACAGAAAGATTCAACAAATAACCTGTTCTGTATCACGACAGAAACATTCAACACAACACCCTTTTTGTAACACAAACAAAATATTTAAGAAATCATCGTTCTGTATCACGACAGAACATTAAAAAAAATCATTCTGTAACACGACAGAAACATTCAACAAATCACCCGTTCTGTATCACGAAAGAAAGATTCAACAATACATCGTTCTGTATCACGACAGAAACATTCTACAAATCACCCGTTGGGTATCACGACAGAAACATTCAACAATACATCGATCTGTACCACGACAGAAACATTCAACACGACACTCGTTCTGTATCACGACAGAAACATTCAACACCACACTCGTTCTGTATCACGACAGACACATTCAACCCAACACTCGTTCTGTACCACTACAGAAACATTCAACACACACTTGTTCTGTACCACGTCAGAAACATTCAACACAACACTCGTTCTGTACCACGACAGAAACATTCAACACAACACTCGTTCTGTATCACGACAGAAACATTCAACACAACACTCATTCTGTACCACTACAGAAACATTCAACACAACCCTCGTTCTGTACCACGACAGAAACATTCAACAAATCACCCGTTCTGTATCACGACAGAAAGATTCAACAAATAACTTGTTCTGTACCACGACAGAAACATTCAACACAACACTCGTTCTGTAACACAAACGAAATATTTAACAAGACATCGTTCTGCACCACGACTGAAAGATTCAACAAATAACCTGTTCTGTATCACGACAGAAACATTCAACACGACACTCGTTCTGTATCACGACAGAAACATTCAACACCACACTCGTTCTGTATCACGACAGACACATTCAACCCAACACTCGTTCTGTACCACTACAGAAAGCTTCAACACACACTTCTTCTGTACCACGTCAGAAACATTCAACACAACACTCGTTCTGTACCACGACAGAAAGATTCAACACAACACTCGTTCTGTACCACGACAGAAACATTCAACACAACACTCATTCTGTACCACGACAGAAACATTCAACACAACCCTGGTTCTGTACCACGACAGAAACATTCAACAAATAACTTGTTCTGTACCACGACAGAAACATTCAACACAACACTCGTTCTGTACCACGACAGAAACATTCAACAAATAACTTGTTCTGTATCACGACAGAAACATTCAACACAACACTCGTTCTGTACCGCGACAGAAAGATTCAACACAACACTCGTTCTGTATCACGACAGAAACATTCAACACAACACTCGTTCTGTACCGCGACAGAAAGATTCAACACAACACTCGTTCTGTATCACGACAGAAACATTCAACACAACACTCGTTCTGTACCACGACAGAAAGATTCAACACAACACTCGTTCTGTACCACGACAGAAACATTCAACACAACACTAGTTCTGTACCACGACAGAAACATTCAACACAACCCTGGTTCTGTACCACGACAGAAACATTCAACAAATAACTTGTTCTGTACCACGACAGAAACATTCAACACAACACTCGTTCTGTACCGCGACAGACACATTCAACACAACACTAGTTCTGTACCACGACAGAAACATTAAAAAAAATCGTTCTGTAACACGACAGAAACATTCAACAAATCACCCGTTCTGTATCACGACAGAAAGATTCAACACAACAGTAGTTCTGTACCACGACAGAAAGATTCAACAAATAACTTGTTCTGTATCACGACAGAAACATTCAACACAACACTCATTCTGTAACACAAACGAAATATTTAACAAATCATCGTTCTGTATCACGACAGAAATATTGAACACAACACTCGTTTTGTACCACGACAGAAACATTCAACAACACTCGTTCTGTACCACGACAGAAAGATTCAACACAACACTAGTTCTGTACCACGACAGAAACATTCAACACAACACTCGTTCTGTACCACGACAGAAACATTCAACACAACACTCGTTCCGTACCACGACAGAAACATTCAACACAACACTCGTTCTGTATCACGACAGAAACATTCAACTCAACACTCGTTCTGTACCACGACAGACACATTCAATACAACACTAGTACTCGTTCTGTATCACGACAGAAAGATTCAACACAACACTCGTTTTGTACCACGACATTCAACACAACACTCGTTCTGTACCACGACAGAAAGATTCATCAAATAACTTGTTCTGTATCACGACAGAAACATTCAACACAACACTCATTCTGTAACATAAACGAAAATATATAACAAGACATCCTTTTTATAACACTCAACCCAACACTCGCTCTGAATCACGACAGAAACATTCAACAAATCAACCGTTCTGTACCACGACAGAAACATTCAACCCAACACTCGTTCTGTATCACAAACGAAATATATAACAAGACCTCCTTTTTATAACACGATAGAAACATTCAACCCAACACTCGTTCTGTTTAGCGACAGAAACATTTAACAAATCACCCGTTCTATACCACGACAGAAACATTCAACCCAACACTCGTTCTGTATCACAAACGAAATATATAACAAGACCTCCTTTTTATAACACGACAGAAACATTCAACCCAACACTCGTTCTATATCACGACAGAAACTTTCAACAAATCAACCGTTCTGTACCACGACAGAAACATTCAACACAACACTCGTTCTGTACCACGACAGAAACATTCAACAAATCACCCGTTCTGTATCACGACAGAAAGATTCAACACAACACTAGTTCTGTACCACGACAGAAAGATTCAACACAACACTCGTTCTGTATCACAACAGAAAGATTCAACAAATAACTCGTTCTGTACCACGACAGAAAGATTCAACACAACACTAGTTCTGTACCACGACAGAAAGATTCAACACAACACTCGTTCTGTACCACGACAGAAACATTCAACAAATAACTCGTTCTGTACCACGACAGAAAGATTCAACACAACACTAGTTCTGTACCACGACAGAAAGATTCAACACAACACTCGTTCTGTATCACAACAGAAAGATTCAACAAATAACTCGTTCTGTATCACGACAGAAACATTCAACACAACACTAATTCTGTATCACGACAGAAAGATTCAACACAACACTAGTTCTGTACCACGACAGAAACATTAAAAAAAATCGTTCTGTAACACGACAGAAACATTCAACAAATCACCCGTTCTGTATCACGACAGAAAGATTCAACACAACACTAGTTCTGTACCACGACAGAAAGATTCAACACAACACTTATTCTGTATCACGACAGAAAGATTCAACACGACACTAGTTCTGTATCACGACAGAAAGATTCAACAAGTAACTCGTTCTGTAACGTGACAGAAAGATTCAACAAATCACCCGTTCTGTTCCACGACAGAAAGATTCAACACAACACTCATTCTGTACAACGACAGAAACATTCAACACAACACTCGTTCTGTAACACGACAGAAAGATTCAACAAATAACTTGTTCTGTATCACGACAGAAATATTCAACACAACACTCGGTTTGTACCACGACAGAAACATTCAACAAATCACCTGTTCTGTACCCCGACAGAAACATTCAACAACACTCGTTCTGTACCACGACAGAAAGATTCAACACAACACTCGTTCTGTACCACGACAGAAACATTCAACACAACACTCGTTCTGTACCACGACAGAAACATTAAACACAACACTAGTTCTGTACCACGACAGAAACATTCAACACAACACTCGTTCTGTACCACGACAGAAACATTCAACACAACACTCGTTCTGTATCACGACAGAAACATTCAACTCAACACTCGTTCTGTACCACGACAGACACATTCAACACAACACTCGTTCTGTATCACGACAGAAACATTCAACACAACACTCGTTCTGTATCACGACAGAAACATTCAACTCAACACTCGTTCTGTACCACGACAGACACATTCAATACAACACTAGTACTCGTTCTGTATCACGACAGAAAGATTCAACACAACACTCGTTTTGTACCACGACATTCAACACAACACTCGTTCTGTACCACGACAGAAAGATTCATCAAATAACTTGTTCTGTATCACGACAGAAACATTCAACACAACACTCATTCTGTAACATAAACGAAAATATATAACAAGACATCCTTTTTATAACACTCAACCCAACACTCGCTCTGAATCACGACAGAAACATTCAACAAATCAACCGTTCTGTACCACGACAGAAACATTCAACCCAACACTCGTTCTGTATCACAAACGAAATATATAACGAGACCTCCTTTTTATAACACGATAGAAACATTCAACCCAACACTCGTTCTGTTTAGCGACAGAAACATTCAACAAATCACCCGTTCTATACCACGACAGAAACATTCAACCCAACACTCGTTCTGTATCACAAACGAAATATATAACAAGACCTCCTTTTTATAACACGACCGAAACATTCAACCCAACACTCGTTCTGTATCACGACAGAAACTTTCAACAAATCAACCGTTCTGTACCACGACAGAAAGAT